TGCCATTTACTCCGCGAATCGGTGCGATATTTGGGTCACATTGTTGGGCGCTCGGGGATATCCACTGATCCCGCCAAAACGGAATGCGTCAGCTCCTGGCCGACTCCCACCTCTGTGGGAGAGGTCAGGAGTTTCATTGGGTTCGCGTCGTATTATCGGCGATTTGTGGCTGACTTCGCTACGATTGCGAAACCTTTGCATGCCTTGACGTCCAAGGGAGTCAGGTTTCATTGGGGGCCAGAGGAAGAGGCTTCTTTTCGCGCCCTCCGGAATGCTTTGGTGGGGGCTCCGCCGTTGAATTACCCGGATTTTTCACAACCCTTCTTGCTCGATACAGATGCAAGTAACACGGGCATCGGGGGCGTGCTGTCCCAGCTCATTGGGGGCGTAGAGCATGTGGTGGCTTACGGTAGTCGGGTACTGTCTCCAGCCGAACAGCGGTACTGCGTTACCCGTCGGGAATTATTGGCGATTGTTTATTTCATTCAGCAGTACCGCCCGTATCTGTACGGTCGGCGGTTCACCGTCCGTACAGATCATGCGGCCCTACAATACGCCCTGCGGGTTCAACAACCATCGGGCCAGTTGTCTCGATGGTTGGAGATTCTCCAAGACTATGACTTTGTCACCACATATCGTAAGGGTCTCCGCCACACGAACGCTGACGCCCTGTCGCGATTGCCACCCACTTCGGAGTGCGCGTGCCTCTTGGGTTCGGGGCGTTGTAGGTCTCCGAACGTCACCACCGATTCGGTCCTCGTGGCCGCTGCCGATGCGCCTTCGGTTTCGGGTCCTATCGAGCAAGAAGGGAGGGATTCGTTGCTGGGGTTGTCGGTCGCGGAATGGGGTCGCCTCCAAATGGAGGACACCTCCCTCCTCGCTCTGCGCCGTCGCGCCGGGGGGGTTGGCCAGGGGGTGGAAAACGTTGACTCGTGGGGGTTGTTCCAGGGACTTTTAATGCACTGGGATGGTAAAACCCGGCGCCAGCGGCTCGTGGTGCCTGCTGCTTTAAGGGGTAAGGTGGTATGGGCTGTTCATGAGCGGCTTCTGCACTTGGGGGTTCATAAGACCTTTGCCACGCTCCAGCTAGATTTCTTCTGGCCGGGCATGGAAAAGGACGTGGGGGATCTCTTGGGGTCGTGCACGCAATGCGCGCAGAGGAAGCCACCTGCTAGGGGGTCCAACCCTCCGCTGCAGTCCATAAAAGTTTCCAGGGTTAACGAGCTCGTCGCTCTGGACATACTTGGCCCATTTCCCGCTACACCCAGGGGCAATAGGTATTTACTAACGGGGGTTGAATACTTCACGAGATGGCCTATGGCCTGGCCCCTGGCGAACCAGTCGGCAGCAGCCATCGCGGAGGCCTTTGTCCAGGGCTATGTCCTCGACAAGGGTGCTCCGGAACGGCTGCTTACTGACCAGGGTAGGAATTTTTCTGGTAAACTCCTACGTGAGGTGTGCGACCTCTTGGGTACGGAGAAGGTTCGGACCTCTCCGTATCACCCACAAACTGACGGGATGGTGGAACGGCTGCATCGGACCATCACGTCCATGCTGTCCCAGCAGGTGTCGGTATCCCAGACGGATTGGGACCTCCGCATAGCCGGTGTGTTGCAGGCCTACAGAATGGCTCCCCATGCGGCCACCGGATTTTCCCCTTTCTTTTTAATGTATGGGCGCGAAGTTAACCCTCCTGTGGCGACCCAGCTGAAGCTCTCGGCGCTCCAGGCGAAGTCTAATTTGTCCGAACACGTTAAATTTAACATCGCTCAATTGTCTGAGGCGCGGGAAGCGGCCGTGCAAAATTCTGAACTCCGCCAGAAGGCGAACGAGAGGCTTCGGTTGGGGCGGGTGCAGGTGGTCAAATGGGTACCAGGGGACAGGGCGTGGTTGCACTGTCCTCAGGTGCCGCTGGCAACCTCGTCGAAATTGGTACGGCCGTGGCGGGGGCCAGTGGAGGTCGTGCAGGTTTTGCGGCCGCAATGTGTTCGCGTCAAATGGGGGAGGCGCCGGTGGTATGTGCACCCCTCAAGGTTAAAACCATTCGTCACGCCGCCCCGGGGTTCACACACACACACGCATGGCCAAACGTGTGAGGGTGTCGCCGACTCCCCGTCGTCGCTGCACTCGCCTAACCTGACGCCAACTGTTCCGTCCCCAGGTGAAACAGGAGTGACGGGCCCACGCCCACCAACCCCTCCCGGAGGGGTCGGGGGTCACTCGGCAGCGAAGCCTGACCCTCTTGCACCCGGACCGTTAACAACCGTCACTGAGCGTGCCGGGACGGGCCCTTGTGACGGACCCGCCGCGAGAACGCGCGCCAAAACGCGCAGACTTTTGTGAGGTCGGCCGTTGGGGGGCCTTGCGGACAAAAGGGGAGGGGTGTTGTGAGGTCGGCCGTTGGGGGGCCTTGCGGACGATGGGAAAGGTGGCGTCCGGAGTGTATATATATGTTGGTTTTGGGGTGTTATCCGGGGGGGGTGCGTCGAGTTATTTTTTTTCTCTCTCTCTTCCTCTCGTTGTTCTTGTTGAAGTTTTCTTGTTCTTGTTAAAAATTACGCGAGGCACACACACGGGGTTTTTGTGAGGGATGCACCTTTATTCTGATTTTTTTTTGCAGCCGGGGACGGCTGCGAGCTGTACAGGGGGGGGTGATGTAGAGGTGTAATTGCGCATGTCTACGAATGTTGAGGTGTGATTATGCATGGCCACGGATGGCCAACAAACACAAGGGGCGGGGTTACGGCCGTACACAAGGGTGGCGCTCGCACCGACGTCCGCATGTGTATCCCCCACGGGCCCCCCCTTGGGGGCAAGTCCTATAAAAGGTGATGAGCCGAAAGGCTCGGGAGTCGGGACTCAGCTATAACCAGAGAAGACGGAAGACCTGCTAGTGTAGGCCCCAGAGCTCCCCTGGCTCGCTGTCCTTATAAGGGCCGACCAGGGCAAGCCGGTGGCGTGGCCCCGAGAGCCCAGACGAAGCTGGTCTGGTGACTCAGGGAGCCGGGATCCCAGCTTAACCAAGCTGGGACAGATAGCCTCCCCTAGTCCCGTAGTGGAGGAATTGGTATAGGTTAGAGGGGTTAGCTGTCGAGAAATCCCTGTAGCCCAGTGACCTGTAAATAACTGTGTTGGTGTAATAAATAAGTGTGCCTCCGATCCTGTCGTCAAGCCTCCATATACTTACTACATATGTACTAAATGTCATCTTTCTTAAACCTCTAGGGAAATAATCTTAATTTTGGAGCTTTCGTGACTGCAGGAATTATTCTTTGGTTCTTTCGGTAAAGTCACGTACAAAGATAAAATAATAAATGAAATAACTGCATACTACGACGTTTCGATTGCAACACAAGCAATCGTCATCAGGTATAAAAGAAATAGCAACAAAAATCTAACCAGAAAACTATAGACAGACATATAAGCAGACAGATATCACAAAGATACACAGAGAGAGAACACGTATCGGCACAAAGAGAGAGGGATCGTCTCTGTGACGAGGCCTTAAATATAGAGAGGGGCGGGGGCGGAGAGAGGGAGGGGGCAGAGAAAAAATTAGCATGTCAATGAGTGGACGACGACGTGGTACGGTACGCAAGCTTGAAAATTAGGAGAAAGACACACTAAAATTAAATAACCTAGCAAAATATCGAAATGTAATGTAATGCAACACAGAGAGTCGGTCAACACACAATTAACGCATAGCCTGGTTGATTACGTATTTCAAATATTGCTAAGTTAGAATTTAAGTGTTAGATTTTTGTTGCTATTTCTTTTATACCTGATGATGATTGCTTGTGTTGCAATCGAAACGTCGTAGTATGCTGTTATTTAATTTATTATTTTATCTTTGTACGTGACTTTACCGAAAGAACCAAAGAATAACTCTAGGGAAATACCCTAGAGGTTTTTGAGACATCGAGATTAAGGTCTTTATTTATATAGATTGTTATTGTAACAAAATAAATACGCAGATAATTTGCCTCCTTCACATATTTTTTCCTCCAGATAAAATGTAAAACTATTGTTTACACATACACCAGCTAAACGATAACATTGGTTCAACACGAGCAAACTCTGGACCGGGTTTGACATTCACTATGTTTTCAGTAGTCAGGCTTGCTGTGGTGATTTAAATTCACTTTGTAATTGATCTCATCTCTAGTTGGGTGAGATGGACACTTTTTATGCATTCATGAAGTCTAATTTGGACTTTTGCAGAGCTGAATGATGTGATTTCATTTGAGCCTTTCAGATCTGGTAGTTGAATTCACTTCCATTGTTTATTTAGTTTATGACCAACTAGCTTTACTACCCGGCTTCGCCCGAGACTTGTCTTGGATTAATACACGGTCTACGCGGAGGGTGGGAGGAGGATGCATGACGTCGGCAGGCACACTGCATAACGCTGCCGCATGCGGGTGACATCACAGATGTGACGTCACTGCTCACTTTCCGTGCAAAATATATCCATTATTGCGCCCCCCCCCCCCCCCCCCAGAATACAAAAGTCTATTTTTATGCTTTTTGCATTGTGTACAGTCTGGAAGCTACCCACATGCCAAATATTCACACATTTCCATTTTATATATATAAGTTATTTATTATGGTCATGTACAGTGTTGGAGAAGAGGGGCGAGATAGTACACAACAGCAGAGAATTTTGTATTGTAGTGGTCAATATAAGGATATTTGGGGTCCATGAAGTACGCATCGATACACAAAATGTAGAGCAGAGAAGTACAGGAAACAAAAGTCTGGTGTGATGGAAGGCGATTTAGGACCTGGAAGGAGGTGGCCTATGTGGGGCTAAGGATACATTTAAGAGGTAGCTAACGTGATGGGTGAATTGGTAATGAGAGTGATGGACTTGGTGTTAGACATGACAAGATCAGACATGTGGCCTCGTGATTGAGTGCTGGGAGAGATCCATGAATGAATTAATCTAATGAATATTTACACCGCTGTAAAATGCACTCTTTGCATTGTGTTGTTCATAGCATTTCTTTCTGAGAAAAAAGATGCTGATGTGGAGCTGCAACAAATATGGAGACAATTGACTACCGTGCAATTTGCATTTAAAGAAAACCATGAAGCTCACTCAAAGCATGAAAAATTAAAAAGTCTGATATCAGATTGGCTGACAAGGAAGAAACGGAAAAGGAATGACAATGACCCAAAGGTGAGCAGTTTTATTACGAGTTGGAGCATACCAGTGTGTCTAAAGAAGAGCGTTTTCAATCAGCGCAACTATGGACCATATAATGAACCACGAGTCTGTGCTCCTTCAACGTAGCAATAGCAAAACTACACTCCTGAAGCCCTCGCGGCGAGCATGCCTCGCCATCGCCATTTAGCTCCTGGACATATTGCTATATGCAAGAGTAGAATACAATTAGTGCATATTATATGCTATGATAGATTGATTGAAAACACGGACACTCTACATGGAAGAAAGGCTTAACATTATGCAGAGAAACATCTCGAGGTCCATGTTTGGAGTTACACTGATTGAATGTGACAAATTAAATTTGGAGCCATCACATGGACTGTCAAGAAAGTTAAGTGGACTTGGGCAGAACAAATCAGTTAAGATTATCCATAATAGAGGTTTTTGGATTAGATCGCGTAAATATATGAATGTGTCATTAAAACCCGCCACCACGCGACACAGCCAACTGGTAAGGATTGTCACGTAAACAGAACGTGGCCAATTCGTCACTAGTACAGCACACCGGTGTGTTGTAGAGCCAAGCCACAACATTTACAAACTGAGTATGACGTTTCGCCAGTAGTTAAAACTGACCTAATAAACTGACCTAATAATCTGTACAAATAGTTTATTATTTGAGCTAGTCTGTCTCATGTTAAATGATGTGGACTGAATGATATGGGTAAATGTAATTAAATGTTTGGCTGAAAAAAGGGGATGAGCATTCTTTGACATAAATGAGAAAATGCATATGAAATTCAAGTTCTTGTTGTTAAGATGTATAATTTGTGTTCCTTTAGATCATGATTATTGTGAAACGGCATGTTAAAATTCTTTACCCAGCTATTGCACAAAGCCTGAATGGGATTAAAGGTAAACATGGTTTGATTTTTCCAATGCAAAAGAGAGTCATCACCAAGCAGATATGCATATCATGAATCACATATTTTCATCATACTCAGACATGATCAATGAACTCCTGGATGAAGGCCTCCCCCAAACCGTCACCACCTCTCATGATCCCACGATGTAAAAATACATCCAGCACCTACTCATTAACTGATCTCATCGCTCCGTCTCATTGATGGGCTTCCTCTTGGACATATTTACTTCCTCGGCTGCCACTCCATTATTATTCTTGACAATCCTTCCACGAGCATGTTACATCCAAAATAATAAAAATTTTGTTGTCTCAAAAATCACACTTCCATCATTTTGCAGTTCCACCATACAGAAAATGGACAGGACAAAGGCCCTTTTATGCACAGTGGAAACTGGAGACTGTTTAAAGTACACATCATTGATGATATTATTCCTGTATTGTCTTTTAGAACTGCTATTTGTGTTTAGTTTGTTGTCCTTCCCCCGCACACCGGTTAGCACGATTGGCTACGTATGGTGGAAAAAGTTCAACATACATACAGTTATACATTATATTTCTTGAGCCATACATTGAACTTGGCATGGGCACTTTATTTTATGGTGTTTTTTGTTGTAAAATATTTTTCAGGTTTTAAAGTAAAGTACATCTCTCCAAAAGATGAGTCATTTGGATATAACGAAATTCTGAAAAAGTACGTCAATTTATTGTTGAAATTCTATATTTGTAAACATACACAAACACATACCATTTTAAAGCGAACTTTTGATATGTTTAACATCACTGCAAAATCTCAGTTCCTGGTGGCAGCCATCAACGTGCAGTATTCATCACTCATAAATTCTTCCGTATTCTGTGCTTCCCTAGGGCTTCAACATAGTCAAGTCCTATGACTTATGTCTCCTACATGACATGTTTGATATTTTTTTAACTTCTGGATATTTGCTCAGAAATCTTTAGGAGATGCCTAAGGCTTTTGGAGTATGTAATCCCTGTGGTCTGCCAGACTGGCTGCGTCAAGACATGGCATAGAGTTCATGGGTTGTCGAATTAAGTGTGTTGACAGCTGCCTGTAGAAACCATGCCTGACTTGCTGAAGCTTAGTGTTCCTCCATGTGTAATTACCATGTATACTGCCTCTTAATGTCTTAATTGAGTTATGTTTTTTATTTCACTTGTCAATGTGATATTTTATTTAACTTTTTATGACAGCCTGGACAATGCATCATGCATAATAATAGGCAGCAAAGATCTTGCAGAAGATTTTCCATGGGCACAGATTTCATTGGTGATTGAATTTGAGTTCTCAGCTACTTCTCTGTGGGCAGATGTTTGCAAGAGGCAGTTTATACGATACGTTTCTCTCAGAACGGTGCTGCCTGCTTGTTGGGAAGAAGGTAACTTGGATACACGCTGCGAGTATTTGGATTAAGCATTTACTGACTGTAGTGTGTTGAGTAGATACTGATGTTTCATAGAAGAAGTCATCTATATGTATATACAAAAGCAAAGATCCCCTGTATAGCCTAAACAGACTGTTGGGGCAAATGCTGTTATTGAGCATCTATGAAGACAGGCACGGCACACAATTGGCTACGTATGGTGTGAAAGAAGTTCAATATACTATGGGGACCTCATTTGCCAGTAAAAATATGATAATTGGTTCTTTACCCTTCTATCTGGCAACAAAACTGACACCTTTTTGCAAGGAGTCATGTTTGCATAGACCGCAATACCTGCAGTCATAATACAAACAAAAGAACATAACTCTGATAATGTGCACTGTCCTTGAAGTTGATTGGTCCACACCCGAGACAGCTTTCCTTCAAGGACAGTGCACATTATCAGAGTTATGTTCTTTTGTTTGTATTATGACTGCAGGTATTGCGGTCTATGCAAACATGACTCCTTGCAAAAAGGTGTCAGTTTTGTTGCCAGATAGAAGGGTAAAGAACCAATTATCAAGTTCAATATACAGTACATATGAGGGGGTGGGTGGCCAACACCATGCCTGGCCGCCATTGTCTCCCGAGTGGCGATATTTGCACACTGCACCAGGTATTCATTTGACACTGAGTCGACTTAGGACTGGTTCAAATAATCACGACTGGTGTTGGACGTGAGCGTGAATGGAACTCGGGTCACCGGGTTCGTAGCACAACGCGCTACTGCTGCGCCACCGCTCCCCACATAAATATACTGCTTGGCTTTGCAAATTTCTGCCATGGTTTATTTTCACAAGCTTTTGTAACAACCTTGCTTAATTCAGGAAAAGTATTAACGTTGATCTATTACACCTTTGATTGTGGTGTTTTTGTTGGATACTTCAAGTTTTGGGCCTTTGTTTTAAAATGAAATATATGAGAAGTCTGTTGTCAGTTTTCCAAAATTATTTTAGTGATATGTTTCATTAGTTTATACTGAGTAATATTGAAAATCTAGCAGCAATGTCAGTTTAAGAGTACTCTTATGCAACTGACCACTCATTTGTAAATAGTTTTGATCCATATTTGTACACATTGTTTCAGATTGATCATTCTCAGCAGTAAACCAAAAAAATGAGGGAATTCTCTAACATATCGTATACTAATATCAACAAGTGTACTATTCTTACAGGGACCCATATCTAATAAATGGTTCTGGCCTCTAAACATCGGGCAGTTCACCAGCATTGCTTCAAGCAAGCCTGACTGCTGATGAGATACTGAAAGTCAAACCTGATCCACAGTTTGCTTGTTAAACCAATCCTGGTGAAATTGTGCACTTCCAGAAGGCGATGTGGCCGATGGGATGTAAAAAACATTTGGAAAGAAACATATATGAAGGTGTATTGTAACACTCAATCCCAGTACAAATGTAATAGAGATGTAAATTGAAGCATTTGCTGTACTTCCATACTCTAGCAAGTCAAGATGGTGACCTCGATGTCCTTAGGTAGGGAGTGAGTTTCAGGAATTTGTGTGTATTGTGATGAGCCGACCAGTCACTCGGCACGAGCCTCGCGCCCCAGAAATGTGAATCACACACTTGTACGAGAATGCAACATAAATATTCCTGTAAATATTCATGTAAATATTCATGTTTCTGTCAACAGAAGCAAGGCCAAGTGTGTCATTGTTGGCTTCTCTGCATGTTCCTTACAAACTAATCATGTCTCAGAAGCTGACAGGCATCAAGGATTCCTCGAGGTTGCTGGAATCGCGGTACAATGTGTTTTCTCTGTACTTTATGATTTGTGTACAAATATGAGGTGTATAACGATTCAGTGTTGTGTTTCAATTCAGGGGCACAATTATACGCTATTTTTTCATTTTGTTATGGTTTTTACTCTCTCATATGTATAGTTTCTGTGTTTCTAATTATTTTGTGCAGTTTTGTTCTGTATTGTGTCCCTAATGTAACATGAGCATATACGTTGTGTATACTTAGCATAAATCAAAATACATTCTTGAACAAGATGTGTGTATTCTTGCAATGTTACACCCCTCACACATTGACTAACATGCCGAGTCACATGCCATTGGCATTAAACCAATAGCAAAGATAGACAGATGTATTCAGAACAGCTATAAGATAGACAAAAAAATAGAGATGCATTCAGACATGAGATAGTAAAGATATTTACACAGGAGAGCTATACAAGGGATATAAAAGATGTTTCCAGACACGAGGCATTGAGTTTAAATACATATTTATAATAGATGTAACAGAGATGAGAGGGAAAGGAAGGAGGTGTATTCAGTAAAGAAATAAAAAGAGAAGTTACGTAGATATCCACTGAAAAACATCTCTAAGAATAGAGAGAAGATATATTCATAATAGCACGACAAAAGATAGGAGGGATATGGGTTCATATTACAGCTTATGAGGGATGGGAGCAATGTTTTCAGAGGCAAGATTTAAGAGATTTGAGAAACATGTTATCTATAATGTAAATATTCATGATATGAAGATATTTTGCACATCGGACAATAAGATTGTGGGGGTCTCATATGGTATAATATATCACTCCGTGGGCTACGCCCACTTTAAACCTTTATAAACAATTTGCCTTTAGAGGCTTACCCCCTTTTTTCCACACCTGATGACGATCGCTTGTGTTGCGATCGAAAAGTATTTTTTTGTATATTTTTTAACCTATCTACGTGACTTTACCGAAAGACCCAAAAATATATATCGTAATATCGTCAAATCACGGAAACCATGCCGATATACAATAATGTGCATGCTGATATACAAAAATGTGACGTCTTCTAACAGGAACAGTGTAACAATAATGGAAAGAAATTACAATGAATTGACAATTCAGACTTCCGAAGGAACACATCCTATATTTTATGCTGATTTAATTATTGATGAAGGCACAGCTATAGTCCTAAAGGTATTTTTGCTCACACCGGGTATAAGACTAAGGTTGTACTTTTCATGAATTATCGACTGAAATAATGGGTAAAGTTGGTAGTAGTTTATATGTGAGAAGCATGATTTATTTCTGTCATTGAACCCCAATCTTGCATTTTGGATAGCAATGAGCATTTGGAATAGAGTACACGCGTTACCTGTTTGTTTCTGATTTCTGTTTGCTCGACTGTTGTACAGTATTTAGCTTTAATATTCTTTTATTTTGGTAACAGGTCAACTCTTGAAAAATAGACTCTCATTGCCTCTTTATGTTAAACAAGATAAACTTGAAACCAGTTCAACTTACAATATTTTTCACAATTTTGTGTCATCTATTATGTTTAGTTTGTAAAAACATAATTACTGTTTTGCGTGTCTGTGCAGAATCTAGAATGTTTACACGAAGAAGGTGCTACAGACTACATAATTTCCCAGCTGGCAGCACTGTCTCTGCAATTCCAAAAATGCTGGCTCATTCTTTATTTATCCTCGTCCGATTATAACATGACGTAAGACAAATGCATGAAGTATTCACACGTTTGTACAGCAAGGATGACTGATAAATTATATCGTTGATCTTCAAAACTGTTGACACACTCTCTCCTTGTAGCATTAATTCAGTGCTTCGAAATAAATAAGCATACAATTGACCTCTTTCCCATATTTTTCTCTCCAAATAAAAGTACTTTTTACACATCCCATCAGCCATACGACCTTATGGGAATGCATTATTCAGAATCATTGTTTGAACAAAGCAAACTGGACCAGTTTCTCCATAGATGTCACATCATTCAGCGTCACATCGAGTCAAGTATGCTTAAACCATCGCTGGTAAACTGCCAGATGTTTATAGGCAAGAACCTTTTTGTTAGATATGGGTCCTATTTCGATGCAAAACCCATATAATCACAAATTAATCATGAGCATCGTGGAGAATGTAAATTGTGCAATAAATCATTTTAAAACATGCCTCACACTTAACTGGCACAATGCTTCTCAAACATTCACCCCCAGACGGCCATGCAGCCAATGGATGTGCAAATAGTTTTTACGTGGAGAGACAGATATGTTCAGGAGGCATATTGTCTGCATATGTATTTTGTTATTTATATTCTCCACAACAACGTGAATGTTTACTTTATTTTATGTATAAGGAGTGGAATGGGTCAACAGTTGCTCTAGAAACCCAGCTTATGTTGTGGAGGAGTCTATGCTGATTTAGTATGCCATATTATTGGCTACCTTCTTTAAAAGGTGTAATTAAATTACGTTGAAATGTTTGTAATTGGATATTTATTAATTTAGTAAGGTCAAGAAAAACCATATATCCCTAAGATGGTATATTTATTTCGAGCACAAATTTTAAGCTGTGTTTTTCTTGCCATAGGTATTCACATTCTGCAGAAGTTATTCATGGTCTATCTTTTCTAAAAGCAACTTCAGCAATATACAGTGTGAAGAATGACGACTATGAAATAAAGGTTGGGCATAACACCAAGTTAATCATAACCAAATATAAGCTTTAGAGATGAACACTGCATCTTGGGTCAGCGGAGCACCATGCAAGCCTGGTGGGAATGTAGGCCCCACCACCAAACCCAGACATTCCTTAGCCTAGGTCTATCAACACTGTGCGGTGTCCTGTAATAACAATGACACATTTCCTCAATATTGTAAATCTTCAAAAAATATCCTGAAGCAGATTAGTGCTGGATATAACCACATTTGCCAATATTATTTGTAACTTTCATCCTTACCCATGTATCGATAGATCAATATTAATGTGCAATTTTATTGAGGGACTTGCCCAAGCTTGCATTTAATGTTGAAATATTGGCAGAAATGTATGTAATTATGCAATTAGTACTTATAAACGTTATTATGGTGGTGGAGTTTATGTGTTCCAATGACCCTCAGAGCTATGTTGCCTGGAGTCTTGTACTCCTGGTAGGGTCTCCCTTGGTGAACAGGTCGGGAGGAAGTTCCAGACAAATAATGGTCCCAAAAAAATCACCTCATGAATAGTTACAAAAAAACTAAAATAAGAAAACCTCACCCAGATAATGGATATCGGGACACACTCCTGGAGGCAGGCCTGGGGGTGGTGTTCACCGGCAAGCGCCTGGTGGTCGGGTGACTCACGTAACCTGGTCAGGCCCAGCTCAAAATGGCTACATGGTGCCGTCCTGTGGGCCCACCAACTGCAGTACCAAGGGTGAGGGGTGGGTGCGATGCCAGTATGGCAGGGAGAGGGATGGTCCCAGATGGACTGGACCTTGGCGATGGACACTAGCTATTGGGACGTGGAATGTCACGTCACTGGTGGGGAAGGAGCCAGATCTGGTGAAGGAGGTGTAGAGGTACCGACTATCATCAGTCTCACCTCCACACACAGCATTGGTACTGGAACCAAACTTCTCGATCGGGGGTGGTCTCTCTCCTATTCCGGAGTAACCCTGGTGAGAGGCCTCGGGTGGGTTTGGGGATACTTACAAGCCCCCGGCTGGGTACTGCTCAGTTGGGAGTTTGTTCCAGTGGATGAGAGGGTCGCCTCAAAGAGACTTCAGGTCTCAGAAAATAAAACTCTGACTTTTGTCTGTGATTATGCACCAAACAGCAGTTCAGATTATTCGGCCTTCTTGGAGACGGTGGGTGCAGTGCTCGACAGAGTGCCGCACACCGACCCCATAGTCTTACTGGGCGACTTCAATGCTCACGTGGGAAACGATGGAGATATCTGGAAAGGCATGTTTGGGAGGAATGGCCCCCCATAATCTGAACCCTACCGGTGATGTTTTTTTTGGAATTATGCGCAAGTCACGGAATGTAAATAACAAACACCATGTTCGAACACAAGGATGCTCATAAGTGTACTTGGTACCAGAGCACCCTGGGCTGAAGGTCAATGATTGACTTAATAGTTGTGTAATGCGGGCGTAAATGGGCGGGGCGGATATGACGATCCGAGAGGGAGGAGTCAGGGTGACGTGGGGGAGAAGTTATAGCGGGGAGACAGGAAGCTATCTGGGGCAGTCGGGGGAGTGAAGGGTGGTGAACACGTTGGGTGGTCGCCGTGCCTCAGCCTGGTGGCTGAGGGGCTCATGACGGCGCCAGCCAGCGGGGTGGAAGAGAGAGTGGAGGATTGAGGTAGGAAGTGGCGAGATAGCCACAGAGGCCACGAAGGGCTGAGGTAGGAAATGGCGAGATAGCCACAGAGGCCACGAAGGGCTGAGGTAGGAAATGGCGAGATAGCCATAGAGGCCACGAAGGGCTGACATTGGGAGGTGGCGAGATCGCCACGCACGGAGGAACAGGGAGCAGAGATGGAGCTGCTGGGGGAGCAGCCAGAGGGCTGTACCAAGAGCCTGCAGCGGAGCTGCAGGAGCGTGGAAGGCTACGGGAGCGAAGGCAGATGTGGGGCTGCCAGGGAGAGAGTCTCAGGAGGAGTGCCGTGTGGGAAGGAGAACGCGAACCCCAAATAAAGGACACGGAGTCAGCGAGAAGCGTCTGAGTCATTTTATTACAGTTGTATCATCGGACCTAAGGCCATATGTTCTGGACACTCGGGTGAAGAGGCAGAGCTTTCAACTGATCACCACCTGGTGGTAAGTAGAATCTGACGCTTGGGGCACCAACCAGATAGACGTGGAAGGCCCAAAAGAATAGTGCGGGTTTTCTGGGAACGTCTGGCACAAGACCCAGTGCAGAAAGATTTCAACTTCCACCTCCGGGAAAACTTCTGCACTCCAGTGAGGTCGTGGACATTGAGTCCAAGTGGACGATGTTCAGGACCTTGATTGTGGATGCAGCTGCAAAAGGCTGTGGCCTGAAGGCAGTTGGTGCTTGTCATGGCGGCAGCCCTATGACCTGCTGGTGGGCACCAGTGGTGAGGGAAGCTGTCAAGTTGAAGAAGGAAGCTCTCTGAATTGAGAGGTCCCAGCTTGCCAAGAGGGTGGAAGCTGCAGCAGTTGCTGAAGTGAAAGCCGCGGTGTGGGAGGAGTTTGGAGATGCCATGGAGAGTGACTACCGGTCAGCCTCAAAGGTGTTCTGGCAAACCATCCGACGCTTTAGGAGGGCTCGACGGGACGTGGCCCAGACTGTTTTCAGTAAAGGTGGCGTAACATTGACCTCAACTCAGGAGATAGTCGAGAGGTGGAAGGAACACTTTGAGGAGCTCCTGAACCCCATGCACAGGCCCTCCTCTCAGGACGCAGCCATGTAAACAGCTGGGGGGGGGGGGGGGGGGGTTGGATCCATTACGGCTGCTGAAATCGCTGTGACGGTCGAGGGCCTTCATAGTAGCAAAGCTGCTGGAGTCGACTAGATTTGCCCAGAGTTTTTGAAAGCACTGGAGAGTGTGTCGTGGTTAACACGCCTCTTCAATGTTGCATGGAAGGCGGGGACAGTACCTCTGGATTGGAAAACTAGGGTCGTGGTTCCCACTTTTTAAAAAGGGAACCAGAGGGTGTGCTCCAATAACAGAGGAATCAAACTGCTCAGCATCCCAGGTAAAGCTGATGCCAGAGTGTTAGAGAGGAGGCTCTGCCCAGTGGTCGAGCCTCAGATTCAGGAAGAACGATGTGGATTCCGTCGTTGTCATGGAGCAATGGACCAGCTCTTTTCCCTGTCACAGATATTTGAGGGGTCATGGGAGTATCCTTCTCCAGTCTACCTCTGCTCTGTAGACTTGGAGAAAGTATATGACCGTGTTCCTAGAAATGTCTTGTGGGAGGTGCTGCGGGAGTATGATGTACTGGTGCTGCTTTTGTGTGCTATCGGGTCCCTCTATTCCCAGAGTGAGAGTTGTGTCCATATTCTTGGTGTTAAATCAAAGTCGTTCACTGTGGGTTTTGGACTCCACCAAGAGTGCATCCTGTCTCCGATTTTCATAGACAGGATATCAAGGTGCAGCCGAGGTATTGAGAGTATCCAGTTCAGGGGTATGGAGGTGGCGTCGCTGCTTTTTGCACGTGACTTTGTCCTCTTTGCCTCGTCAGTCTGTGATCTCTTGAATTAACTTGAATTATTTAATGCCCAGTGTGAAGCGGCTGTGATGAGGATCAGCACCTCCAAATCTGAGGTTATGGTTCACTCGCGGGAGATGGTGGATTGCTCTCTCCAGGTGAGGGGGGAACAGCTGCCCTTAGTGGAGGAGTTTAAGTACCACGGGGTCTCTTTCGCAAGTGGGAGCGGGAGATCGGCAGACTGGCAACCCTATTGCATGGTCATTTGCCAGCAAGTGAATTGCAACCCTTCATAGCACAGTCATGTTATGTTGCCTTTGAGCCGCATTGTTTTCTTGTAAAATGTACAACTTTTGTATTACTCTTTGGTTCTTTCGGTAAAGTCACGTAGAAGATACAATCAAATAATAGAATACAAATTAGGAAGTGTAATGCAATGCAACACAGAGAGTCGGCTAACACACAGTTAATGCATTGCCTGGTTGATTAACGTTCTCCCAAATATTTCTAAATTAGAAGTAATCTAGTAATAGGTTTTTACCCTTTCAACTTGTACAAAAACTGACACCTTTATACAAGGCATCATGTTTGCAATAACCACAACACAAGCAGTCAAAATGCAAATAAAAAGAAACAACTCTGATGATGATAATGATATGCACTGCCCTTGAAGTTGATTGGTCCACACCCCAGACAGCTTTTCTTAGAGCCTAGTCTTCATTGGTGTTGGACCAGATGACGCCAAAAGGCGTACAACTCAAAGTCAGCGCACTATCAGAGTATTGAGAGCTCGGGATAAGCATTTACACTATGAGACCTCCTTTACCAGTGGCAAAATATAGTAATAGATTTTTACCCTTTCAACTGGTACAAAAACTGACACCTTTATACAAGGCATCATGTTTGCAATAACCACAACACAAGCAGTCAAAATGCTAACAAAAAGAAACAACTCTGATGATACTGATATGCACTGTCCTTTTGACTGCTTGTGTTGTGGTTATTGCAAACATGATGCCTTGTATAAAGGTTGCAGTTTTTGTACCAGTTGAAAGGGTAAAAACCTATTACTATATTTTGCCACTGGTAAAGGAGGTCTCATAGTAGAAGTAATCTATTATTATTTTATTTTATACGTGACTTTACCGAAAGAACAATTATTCCTGCAATCACGAAAGCTTCGAATCTAACTTTTGTATTGCATTGATGTAGATTCTTCAAACTGGAAGCATTCAAGAAACAGTAGAAGCAATACGGGCGATTGGGGATGTGACACTCTTCAGCAGCAAGGGTTGGGACCTTGACCACTGTATTGTGAGGCCTTTTTTGAAGCCCTTGGTTTCAAAGGTAAGCTAACTTCATCCATATCTACATCTATATGAAGTACAATGCAGCCCCAGTGCATACCTGCCTATTTGAATGCTACTGACATTGTAATTTATTTGCGAGTGCTGATCCACAATCATGGATTACCAAGCTGCCCTTGGATTTAGTTACCAAAATGTGCCACAATACTACCACAGTCGAGGCTTGATGTTAACTGTATGTCTGGACTCTCCAGCAATACTCTACAGAGCGCATCTGCAGAGTATAAATCATGCACGTTTGGTTGAGTGGTCTTTTCGGAGGGGTACGGGGTAGAACAAGGGACTGGCCAGTGTGATATTGTTTTATGTATGCAATATGTTCAGGAGCTAAATGGCAATGTAGACGTCTGCTAGCCATGAGAGGGCTTCAAGAGAGAGTTCGTGTGGTTTCACTATTCCTCTATTGAAGGAGCGCCGACTGCATTGGTTTACCACACTGTATGGTCCATAGTTTGAGTTGCATGGCCAGTCGTACTACTGTGGCTTGTACTGGTAGGAACGAAGTGGACCAGCCACCAATAGATTATTTCGTCCGTCCGTCCGTGTAGCAACATCGCCCCCTACTGCAAACACTTGGCATGACCCTACAAAAACCTTTAGACTCAGTGACGCTTTCCTGGCTAAACAAGTGTAACATTCCCTTATAATTCCCTCAGATAGCTTTTAATTAAAAATTTGAAATTAAATAAAAAAACTCACAGCGCCCTAAAGCCTACAGCTAGGCCTAAAGCCTAGAACTAGGCCTGAAACTCTCCCTTCGTATCGTACCCCCGCGTGTGTGAAAGGGAGTTAATGTTTAACAATGTTACATTCCCTCATGTTTTTAAATAGAAACATTTAAATTTAAAGCTTTTACATAAATAATTAAAACATTTAAATAAAAAATTTACTCACAGCGCCCTTATATAACCAAGTAAATCAGGTTTTTGTTTACTATTCCATATACTAATGGAGTAGCCTTCTGCTGAAAACTGTGCTCTGCAAGGATTTACATTAATTTAGTTGTGACACGTTTGCTGTTTTCAATGCTCAATGTTCCCGACTTTCTGCTGACGTTTTTTTACAATGTTTTTATTTTAACAATAAGAGATGTATAGACAGGTTAACATTTATTGTTCACGAACCCAGTGTAATTATTGTCATCTGTGTTCTAAATACAAAACACTTTTGCTTCCATTTGTAGGAGGAGCAATTTTTGCTCGGATTTCCTTGTATTAATGCATTCGTAGCACAACTGATGTTACACAAATTAGATTCACTCCAGCAAATCCTGTCATTGTCACTGCCAACATTATGCAACCTTTTGCCCCAAGTGCCAACAAAGGTCTTGAAGGTAAAGTTATGCTGTGTCCTGCCGAAACCGCCTTTTTTAAGAAATCATTGTTCCCTCGAGCTTGCTAATGTTTGTAATCAACTAGTTCCTCTTTTACCACTTGTATCGGGTTGTCTGTGGTAGCATGACCATCTCTTTGCAGTATTAACTATGAAATCGACATTCGCATGCAGACTGGCTCTGTCTTTTTTACATTTAAACCTTTTTTTACTTCCTGGGCCAATCACTCAATAACGCGCTAAATAAAGTATAGAAATAAACACTGGCATCAATTTGTACTGAGCAGTGGTGCGGTGGTTAACATACTGCACTGTTAACCTGGCGACTCGAGTTTGATTTTCGGCCATGGCTAAAACCTGTGGCAAGTAATATCTGAACCTGGCTTGGGGCCCCCTTTCGCAATCCACACTTAGCAGCGTGGTGAGGTATGGTCAAATAAGCTCCATGACTGAGATGGCATGGGGAGGCCTTCATCCGAGAGTGGATGGACACGATTTTTTAAATTATAATTGTTTTGCCATGTTTTTTTTACTTTCATATATAAAGAGATCAGTACGCAATTGTCTATACTGATGCCTGTTACTTAATTTTTAAACCATATTCCCACAGCTTTTCAATGAAATATGTATGAGGTATCAGCCAGTCAAAAGAATGGAACAAGATGATGACTTTATGCATTTAAACTCACCTCCATTTGAAACCTCCGAATACCAGATCAAGTCAAGTTTTCACCACACTCATCAAGGGGAAGACACATTTTTATTTGGGCCTGTTTTAATGTCAGGTAATGCAATTCATGTATAAATATTTAGCTTGTTTTGGCTGATGTATAATATATATCTGAGTAAAATTCTGAACTTTGTCAATTCCAGTCTTCAACTTACGAACTGGTTCTGTTCCTGAGACCCGTTCATAAATCGAATGGTTTGTAAGTCATAACGTAATAATGTACTGTATTTAAATGCACATATGGTCAGTGTTATAAAATGTGTTATGGTTCAACAAAAAAGGAAGCATTGTTAAACTCAAAGAATTATTATGCATTTGCATGCAATACTGTAATACTGTATAGTACAATAAAACTAAATAAAGTAACAAATAGAAAAAGTCAGCTTTCTTTCCACGTACCGTCAGTCCTGATACTGGCTTGCTTGTCAGAAAGGGCCGTAATTGAGTCCCCACAATTGTACATAAAAAATCCCCTCCAGCCTGAACAGGCTGTGGGACAAAGTGTTGTTAGCGAGCAGCGACTATGAAAGCCGGCACAGTCCACTAGGGGGTAGATGGCAAGCACCACGCCTAACCGCCTTCGATTCCCCAGTGACGATGTTTACACACCGCACCAGGTACTCATTTTATGCTGAGTCGACCTAGGGGAGGTCCAGGACCCATTTAGATAATCGTCACTTGTGTTGGTCGTGAGCAGGAATCGAACTCGGGTAACCGTCCTGGTAATACAGCGCGTTAATCGTTGCACTACTGCTCCCCAAACACATACGAGGGCACACGCACACTCACTTGCACACACACACACCAACACTCACTCCGAGCGGGTTGCTTTGACTCATTACATTTCGCGGAGGACCGCTCCGCTTAACAAAATAGTTGTGCGGTTTAGTTCACAAGAGCGAGTTCGCGTTTGCAAGGCTATGTTAAAGAAAAATCTCATAGAAGCTGGTTCGTAAGTGCAGATGTTTATAAGTCGGGTGTTCGTAAATTGAGAACTGCCTGTATATTTACAATATAACTAAACATGCCCACTTGTTAATTGTGACTTACTGTATTTTTTGTCATTTTTTTAAATTTAGATTCATGCTTGGACATAAAGGATGATGCACAAAAACAGAAACAACTATTTTATGTACGAGTGCCTGGCCGCAAAGATGGACAAACCCGACTTGCTTTTATCTAAACGATGTCGCGTAAATTCACACTTTGGAGTTCCCTGCTCATTGTCACTTGTAATCATTATGTTTCCCAGGTGAAGCAGATGATGAATAACATCCATTGTACTCAACGATGATAATTAATTTCACAAGAATGGGGTGAGGTAATAGAGTTTATGTAAGTACAGTTTAGTAAAAGACGGTGATTTGCTGCTCAAATGAGCCTTGCGTCGGTTGCCATCTCTTGTTTACACCCTTGAGCCAGTGGGGTAGTACTAGTGGTAGTAATTACACATTCCTATGGCAAGGTCAAAGGTATAATTTACTAAACTTACATTATGTACGTGTTATGGACAGAAATGCAGACCACTGGCTGCAATGTTTGATTTATTTGGACCACTCACAATGGAGAAAACACCTTTTGTCGAAATTTAGCAATCATCACACCAGTTAGGAAATATACCAATTGTACTCCCTTTGTTGTCGTCACTAAATGAGTACTGTATATGGGATCTGATGAAACAGTTCTAAGATTAGGTATTTTATTTTGACATTCGCATTACACTGACCAAGTAGTGACTGCTATCCTCTCATCTCCCCTTGCAAGGATCTACTTTCCATCGGTCCTCTTTGATGATACTCTGTAGTGTCACTTCCAGTTTTGAGGTGGCTCAGCTGCAGAGCGAGTGACTCGCATCGGATAGTTGTGAGTTCAAATCTTGGATGGCCGTTGATTTGACCTATAATGCCTCCCTCTGAAGTCGACAAAATAGGTACCACTTTGCGGGGATGTTAACGTTGTCTATTAAACCGACTCGCCCACCCTCCCCTCCCTAGGAATGGGGATTTTCCACCAATCGCTGAGGGTTGTAAGTATGAGATGAGTACTGCCGCAATTCTTATTTGAAAGGGAACCACTTTGAATGTTAGACGATGTTTGAAGTAATTGAAGGAATGTCATCAAACCTGTTTGTAGGTTTGGCTACAGAAAATATCGCAAAGTGCTATGTAAGCAGTGTATGGCAGGTGACGAGAGACTTGGAATGGCCCCGCTTGGCCTAAAGCCGACACTGGTACATTTTTAAAGATCCAAAATGTTGGGTTCTACGTGGGTGCCATCACCTGTGAATCTCGTAGGCACTGCAACACATACTACTTGTACGTCTGCTTCACTGTCTAACCATTGAGGACAAATTCACGTTGAACCAGTTCATGGTTAAAGGCGGTCATCGGTAACGTTTGTATACATATGGTCCCTGTTGGTGTTCTAGATTCAGTTAACTCTGTTCTACACTGGGATCTTCAAGAGCATAACTATAAACGCACATTTCAATGATTGTTATAATCTGTTAAGATCTTAAGCCAAGCAAAGAATATTAGTTAATTAAATATGCAACCAAATTCGCCTCAGCATATCTACGCAATGATTTTGTTAAATCCTTTATATTAAGTTCACTTGCTTGCGCGCTTACGACCGTGCAAATCTTTCGCTCGTTTTTAACCCACTTCCCGTGATCCAATCGAGCTGACATTTTGCACACAGACTCGTTGTGCGAGACAATTAATGTTCGTGAAATTTTGTTTCCAAAATGTTACACTTTATAGGACAACAATATTCTATTTAATTACCAATTGCTTAATGGTGGCAGACAATCATCTGACCCATAGGTGGCAGCCATCTCAAGCCAGAGGACGAGAGGACTCTAGCCGCCACGCATATAAAGGATTTAGAGTGAAAAACTTTGTTTTTACGGGTTAATTTTTTTACACATCCATTGGCGCCACAGCCTTTTTCTGGGAGTGAATTGTGTGAGTTGCATTGCTTTACCACAAGACAAATTCTCTACCCGTTTTGACATTAAGTGTTTCAGCAGCAGGCAGGCTTGCTTCAACCCAACTATAATATATAAAAGATTTAGATTGTATTAGATGGTGCATTACACTGTCGCTCGCGCTTGTGTAGACCGTATACAAATTCATTAAATACATCTTTACTAAATGATGTTATCTGCACATTTGGTTTGATTACTATGATAGAAAGTTAAGTTTCATACTGTAAAGACAATATTCCAAATTCACGTCACGTACTCACTTTCTTGGGGCTATTCGCCTCGGACGTTTTAAATCTTTCGTGCCAAAATTGGCTTCGGTGTCTTAGATGTTGCCATAACGGCAACTTTTGTCAATTTACTTCGTATTTGCACAATTATTTCGTGTTTTCAGTCGTTAATGTTAAGATTTGTTGTAACTTCAAAACTGATTGAAACGGGTTAGACGCTGTGATACACAACAAAATAAAACATTGCTTTGACTTTAATACGCAAGTGTTTTGTCTGCGGTCAAGGGGTCGGATGAGGTACGAATGTAGTACTGTATGTTGAACTTCTTTTGCACCGTACGTCGCCAACCGTGCTCATCGGAGGAGCGGGGCAAAGAATCGGTTATAAAGGAATGAGTTTTACATTTAGATGTAAAAGTGCACAGTTCCAAGTGGCTTCTTGAAAGTGCGCGGTGCAGTGCCGTCTTTGTTCGATGGTTGGCTGAAGGCCGCTGCGAGGATGGCCGGAGAAACAGCCGAGGAATAAACACCTGAGGACGGCTGCTTGCATTGTGGCCGAAACGTCGTGAGAATTGTATTTTATTATGTAGTATTTTATTATTTCCCTTCTACGTGACTTTACCGAAAGAACCAAGAATATGTTTATTTGTTTGTTATTCTAATGACCTCCCCCCGACTGGACATCTATGAAAAAAGCGTCATTGATCATTGGATTCCTCCAGGCGACATAAAAGATTCTGATTCTATGAGAAAGGAATACTTTATAGCGATCCTCGTCATATCGTGGATTGGAAATTCCATCGCGACAGAAACTTAATCACTTTATAACATCCCATCCGGAAACTGGAAAGGGGGCTTCAATATAACTTTATTAAAGATTCGTAACTTAGCAACCGAGGAGGGGCTTGAATATAACTTTATAGAAAACCGATGTTGCGTCCTGGGAGGGAGTTAAAATAACTTTATTGGTAACCCACTCCCTGCCGCGCGACAATAACTTTATTGATTACCAACTCCCTGCCGCTTGACAATAACTTTATTGATTACCAACTCCCTGCCGCTTGACAATAACTTTATTGATTACCAACTCCGTGCCGCTTGACAATAACTTTATTGATTCCCCGGGCGGCTCCCCTGAGACAATGGCGGCGCAAACTCAAACGGGGTCGTGGTGAGAACCGACTCGTCAGGTGAGCTCCGAGTACCAGGTGAACACTTAATACCAGGTGAACACTTCATACCAGGTGAACACTGAGCACCAGGTGAACACTGAGCACCAGGTGAGCCCTGAGTCCCAGGTGAACACTTCATACCAGGTGAACACTGAGCACCAGGTGAACACTTCATACCAGGTGAACACTGAGTCCCAGGTGAACACTTCATACCAGGTGAACACTGAGCACCAGGTGAGCCCCGAGTACCAGGTGAGCTCTGAGCCGTCACGGAGTACCAGGTGAAACCGACTCATCACCGAGTACCAGGTGAGCAGTGAGCACGCAGTCCCAGGTGAGTACTGAGAGTCATCACTGAGAACCAGGTGAACACAGGGTTCATTCAAAGCTCAGTAAATACATATGAACTTTTATTTTTGTCTAAGCAGAATGAGGACCTCTATCTAACAGAGGGGTCCTTGCCTCTAAACATCTGAAAGTTGCCAGTCTGCCTGTACTGATTTGAACTAATGTTGCTGATCAATTAATTTTATAATTTTGTTCTATTCTCCGTAATTTATCATTATTTTTGTGTTCTGTACTGCGCTGTATATGAATGTTTATATTGAAATATGCACTTTTAAGATGAATGGGTGTGGTCTTTATGTCTGAATGTGGATAACATGTATACAATCTATGAATATGCCAATGGTTTTGTTGGCCTAAGTGAGCGCTGTGTTGTTGTGGGTGTTTTGTGGAGGTCACTTGGGAGCTGTGGGGGATGGACACCTACACCCTGCCCCAGCATGACGGCCCCAGACATCTCCGTGGCTCCAGGCGTCCTGGCGGCGCTGATCATCGCCTGCACCTGTCTGTGGGGACGTCGTTGTCACGGGAAGTGGTCAGTGGCTCTTGGTTTTACAGGGCCTGCCGATCACTGCAGTACCTTGGCAACAGCGAGAGCTGTCATGCGTTGTCACGCTGAACTAGATCGATAACAGAGGAATATTGAACTCGTCAAGTACTCGCCGGTAACTTTAACCGGGTATCTCAACAGGGCGGAGATGAGTTCGTGCAATGGGTGCTGGGTGGATTGTCACATCGCAGGAGTGTGATAGGTGGAGGCAGCTTGGGGAGGTCTTCACTCAGCATAGGATTGACCATTGCTGACAATTACAAATCTGTTGCATCCTTTACATTCTCGTCACTGTATACAGGCTGCAGATGAGTTTAAAAAAGCTGACTCCTCTCAAAACTTGACTGCATCACCCTCCGTTTTCCTATTGAATGCTGTCAACCAAACCCAGATTGGCAAGATGTGACGCTCGTGATAAAGAGAGATGAGGCTAGTTTGAGTGCTCTGAAGCCTGTGGGTGGGGACTATTTGAATCTGTTCTGGGGCCTTCCGTAGGCCGACGCACCCTTAAATTAGTATTTTGTACCATACGTAAAGATCAGCATTGGGGAGACAAAGGCGGTCAGGCGTGGTGCTGATCACCCACCCTCTGAGAATAGGTTTTCCCCTCTATGTGGGGGATCTTGTCTTTGGGGCAGCAGGGATTGAGCAAGAGCGTCTCAATGTGCTCTCTTGACGAAGCCAGCGCCGGGCTGGACGGGCCCGGCCTGGAGCCCGAGGAGATCCTGCAGCTGACTCACGAGGCGAGGCAGCTCTCTGACACGCTGGCACGCCTGCGCCAAGCTGCCCTCTGCCCTGGTCAGTTTCGCACCCCACCTGGTCAGTGTCATACCCTAGATTTTATAACTACATGTAGGATAGTGGTTTTAAAGCATTTGATCGTGTCTGGCATTGTGCACCACCATTTGGCATCCACTCTAATCTGCACGCTTTAAATTTTGTCTTTCTAACTAATCAATATAAGCTGAAGCCAAACTGATCTCTCACCGTTATCTCTGATGTTTTGCAAGGCTTTAAACGTGTTGAGCGATATGTCCAAACACTTAAGGGCATGTATGCAAACTTTTTAATCTATAAATTCTACGGTATGCTTTTTTTTATTAATATCACACTCGCTCTCAAATGCATTCTTGAATATATACATATTTAATGGCACACACTGCTGGTTCTTATATATATAAAAAAAAAAGTTGTGCATTGTGTGCAAAACATAACAACATAGTGGTTTTGATAACCTTTTTAATTGTTACTGAAAGTCCTTCGATTTGATTTAAACCACCCCCCTTAGGTGTTGGCCCAGGTCTTGATGGTGGTGGGAGAGTTTACAGACAGCTGGGCGATGTACTGTCTGTGCTCAAGCCGGTGCTCAAGAGATACCCTGCCCTGCATTCGGTGGGGCTGCTCACAGCCATTGGCAGCCTCATCGCCACAGTGAAAGGTCTGCTCAGTGGAATCTGTTTATAAACGCCATTCCGTGCACTATGTGCCTGACACGGTCTTCATTGTATACCTGAATCTGCTTCTCCATCCACGCGGTGACTCATTTGTAGAGCGTGTGGCTCACAATCAGAAGATTGCGAATTTAAATCCTGGCTGGGGGTTGACTCGGCCCATCATGCCTTCGGGGTCGACAAAATGATTACCACTCTAAAAACATCAACAATGGTTGTTTTGTGAATTAACTTGCCTCCATCATAGGGATGTGGCATATCCACAATTGGCTCAGGGATGTGAACAGATTATAAAGGCCTCCGTTGTCATTTGAGCATAAGAAACAACTAACTTTGATTAGCTTATACAGTAAAACCTTTATTTGCGGGGATATGTTCCTGGAGAATGGCGCAAATATTAAATACGCGAATATTAATACTTAAAGCTAAGCAGGCAAAAATAATTAAGGGGCATAAACATATTACGCTTAAACATAAATATGTAAATTGTATATGTATTAATAAATACATATATTGTATAATATTGTGTTATTTAACTTGCCTTTAATAATGGTGATTGTAAACATTTAAAAGTGAAAATATAAAGAAAGAAATATACAGTGTGATTTAAAAAAAATGTAAAGGCAAACACTTGCTTGTAAAGAGTGCGGTAAACATGCCTCACTACAGTACAGGATAGGAAGTCGCGCTCCATCTCGCATCCCTGCACTGTGGCTATAAACCCAGCTACCCTGGTTCGATTCTGAGTCACGGCTAACATCAGTGGCGAGGGATATTTGAACAAGGTGGTCCTGCATGGTCCCTGCTGTTCCCTCGACCCACAAACATCTACCCTTAAAACAACAAAAATGCCAGGCACCTGCAAGAACTGTGGTTATTTATGTGTGGTAAGTGTTGCATTTTATTATTTTCTTTTGACATGTGTTTTTCTCACGTAAAAATGTTGTTCAAGAGTGGAACATTTTGGGGCTGAAACGTTGCTCAGCTTTTAACATGGGAGTTCGTGGAAAAACGATCAACAGTTAACGAATTTTCGTTTCGGAGCAATTGTTGTCGAACGCATCTGGCTTAGTGAGCGAGACTCGCCTGCTCAGTCGCTCTTGTCGGGTAGTAACAAGCAACGGCCACACATTTAAAACAATCCCCATGAATTTAAAATAGCACTGCAATTAATGTGTCAAGAATACCTTAAACCCCAATTTTAAAACCCACAAATATTAAGGGTTTACTGTCATTAATTTTTGTGTTTAACATGATACGTAATTTCATCTACTGTGCGTTCAATATTTTTACATGTCTTTGTAAATGCAGTTGCTTAACACAAGCCCAAAGGCCCAAAACTTCAAATGGCCAGCAACAAACAGCATGATAAAAGTTGAATTAAGCAACATTATTATAAGTGCTTGGGAAAGGAGATGTTAGGGAAGAAGCAAAAAGGGAAGTGTTATGACCTATTATAATTATTTTATGTTTGTCACGTGTGCACTGTGTGTCTTGCAGGGCACTGCCCAAATGAGCAAGACGGTCGTTCCAACAGATTGCTTGAGCAGGCGATAGATGGACTGGCTATGGCCTTCAGCAGTGTGTGAGTTGGACTCTTTTCACTTGTCATCACAGGCGTCAATATAGCTCTGCCTAAGGTGCATGCACGTTCAGGATTGAAGAGACACTTGAGAGCTAAGCTTGGTCTACATGTATGGGGTGTTGCTTCAATGCCTGAGAAACTCGGTGTCCATGCAACGCATATCTTCTACAACTACTTTTTAATGTAATGTTAATGGTCTAAATGTATAAATGTGTTTGTAATCTAAGATGGTAAATAGGTAGTGCACCTAAGACTTATGCAGGTATATAAGCACAATAATTCAAGTTAAAAAATATTTTCACATATCAGCAAATCTGTATTTGCTGATTCGTGAAAATCTTTGCTCACTTGAACCAATGCTGGTGAATTGCTAAGTGTGTATAGGCAAGAATCTTCTGTTAGATATATCCTAGTTTGACCCAATCATATCCAATACATAACATGAATTATTGTCTTCTTGGTTCTTTCGGTAAAGTCACGTAGAAGGGAAATAATGTTTTATGTTTATTATTTTATTATTTCCCTTCTACGTGACTTTACCGAAAGAACCAAGAAGATGAATCCCTGCAGTCACGAAAGCTTTAAATCGAAATAATTATTGTGTAAAATGATTAACGTGTGTCATGTGTCCTAATCAGTATGTCTGAGTTCCTGATGGGAGAGGTCGACACGAGAACTCTACATTCTGCTCGTAAAGTCCGCAGCTTGGTGAGTACCACCATGCAGACGATGCCAAGCGGTAGTGTGGTTATCATGCTGATTATCTTAATTTGTGAAACATTGCATAACTGTGAAATGTCTATTGAACTGGAGCTATTGTAAGTTGTTAGGTATCTATAGTCACAGTGATGTCCTGCTCTCAAGTGAGGATTGAGTTGATGCTCAATTTATGTTTATAGCCCTGAGCCAGTGGTGGAAATTCCACATTTTTATGGTGGGGGTGAGTCTATCCATCGGACAACCACGGTTGACTTCCCTACAAAGTGGTGCTCATTTTATTGACCCTGGAAGGAGGGGATGAGTCAACCCTAAACCTGTAATTAAAGTTGCAACCTTCAAATTGAGAGCTACTCAATCTGCTGCTGATGCACCTGGCCTTACAATGGGGTCATTGTAAATTTTGGAATTAGAATGTAATATATTACCCAAATATATTGCATGTTTGGTTGTGTGTTTTAAATGCACGTGTATGTGGGGTGAATGTGCTTGCACAGTAACACTTTTGACAGCCAGACTCGAGTCAGCCAGAAATATTTGAATACATAAATAAAAATGAAATATCTAAACCCCAAAACTGAAGCAGATTAAGCTGTGTGCATGTTAATGGGGGTATATGTGCACAAGACATTCTAAAGCTATATATGTATCTGTTGTATGTACCTGTGCCCTTGGATACTCGGCTCCACATGCCCTTGTATTTGAATGTTAATACACCTATTCTTTGGTTCTTTTGGTAAATTCACGTAGATAGAAAAAATAACAATTTATTTTTATGAATTTTTTTCATTATCATTTATTTTTCTATTTATGTGACTTTACCAAAATAATCAAAGAATATGAATTCCTGCAGTCACGAAAGTTTTAAGTTAATACACCTACAGTGTGTCCTACGGGTGTTTAAATTTAATGCACTCAGTGTTCATTTGACTAAAAATTTTGCTTCCTCAGTCTGTAGACAACTTGCTGTTTGATGGAGTTTCTTCAGAGAACCGGACCTCCTCTGTTCAAAGTTTCTACAAAGCTGGTGGGTTCTTATCAGGGTTGTTAAAATATGCTCTTCTGCATGACTCACATTGCATAAAACCAGTATTACTGGTATTACTGGTTTTATGCATGCAGTAATACTGGTTTTCCACACATCAATGTCTTGAGCAATAAACTGAGAAATATGTTTACCTTTATAACTGAGAAAATAAGGAAACCACAGTTATGTAATAGTGAGCACAATGGACACTCAATCTAGAGATCACAGGTTAAATTCCATCTCCCAGCTCAGCAGTTGAAACTATGGTGCAAGTTTCTTCAATCTCCCTGTCCACCAGCAGTATAAATGAGCACACGACAGTTGATTGGCTGATCGTGTGTGGTTGGGGTAAAATGTAGTATCCACAACATGCCTGGTCAGTGTAGAAGAGTAGACCAAGTACTCTCTTGAGTTGCCCATTTCATTGTCCTCTGTACTTTGCTCTTGCCAATCAGTACATTCGTTACTAACAATCCACTGAAATCGGCAACCAACTGAAAACGGTTACCGGTTTCCTTGTTGCCATTTAACAACCGCAGTTAAAATTGTGTTTGTGCGGTCTTGCAGAAGCTGAGCAGAGTCAAGACCGGGAGCTGCTTGATGGCACCGTGGAGGCCAGCCTGTCGTACCTGAAGGCCTGGTCTGAGTATAGCAAGGGACTTCTCGCCTACATGGAACGCCGACTCAACCTCGGTAGAGTTCTTCCCGTGGGTGCATGAATCGCGACCAATGGGACCCGAGCACATGGCTCTAATTGCAGTTTTGAACAGAGCATATTCACAATTATACAGATCCGACTTTGTTCTGTATTTCAGACTTTTAAATCAGTGGTAAAAAGGTGATTTCCTGTTCAAATAAGCATTTAGGTAGTGTTCATCACCTGTTTACAGCCTTCAGCCAGTGGTGGAGTGCCCACGTTCCTATGGCGGGGGTGAGTCTATCCATTGGACAACCACTGTTGACTCAACTACGAAGTGGTACCTATTTTTGTATCAACACTGGAGGGATGGTGGGCTGTGTCACCCCCCAGCCAGGATTTGAACTCGCAACTTTTCAATTTCTAGCCGCTTGCTCTTCCACTGAGCCACCTGGCAGGAAACATCTAAAGCTTCTGTGTAACTATTATTGTCACTGCATGTATTAAGTCTGTTATTTATCTTAACCAAGTTGTATTGTTGTCCTCGTGTTTTTCAAAGTAGGCCCCAATGACAGGACTTATTAATTTCCTTTGATCCAGATTTATCTCCCCCAAACATTGCCTGTGGTGTACCCATGTATACTGCTGAGTTGGCAGAGGCAAGGGCATTTAAGAGATTTGCCCCATTGTTTCAACTGAGGACCTGGATTGCAAGTCCAGTGTGAGTGCCCATGACTCCATGGCAGCTCCCTTCGATTCTCAATTTAAGCAATTGAAATGTTATGTCGCTAGACCTTTCTATATGTGGTACCTGTTTTTATTCCTTTTTTACATGCAGTTACCATAAATGCAAAAACACCTGTTTTACAATGTAATATATGTGAATCATTGTACATCTATGCATGTGCTCAATGCATGAACAAGCCACAACATTACACCTTCATGTGTATTTTCAATGCTGTTGTTCACAGAAGTGGAACATGCAAATACCTTGTTAATGGTGAACCAGACATTGAGTCCAGTATTCATGAACAAGGTACCTTTGCCCAACCACACATGCACATCTAATTTGGCTTAAAGTGTGTTCATTCTAGAAGTGTTGAAATGGCCCAGTGGTAGCGCATTCGCCACTTGTTTCAGTAGTATCGCGGTTGATACTGTGGTGTGTTTTTAACATAAAAATACAGTGGATGTGAAAGATGCAGTGAGGTCATTGTAAGAGTAGGCCATTGTCTGTCGGCATCATGGTCAAAATTTGCCAAGATTAGAAAAATTAACTGCAAAGGTTTCAATTGGATTTAAACATAGCAATCATCGCCCCTTATTAACAGAAGAATGCATTCATACAGGCCAGGTGCCAAGTCCCCTTATGCCATACAAGGATAACTACCACAAGCGGTGCTCTTCAAATTGTTTGATAAGTGATGCAAGGCGCTTTGACACGTAAGCTTTCGCGACCAATATCCATATGAAAGGTTTTTGGTTAGATCACGTAAATGTGTCGTTAAACCCGCCAACACCCGACACAGCCAATTAGTAAGGTTTGCCACGTTAACAGAACATGCCAATTCGTTACTAGTATAGCACACCAGTGTGTTGGAGAGTATATCCAGTAATTACAACTAGCATCTTCAGGCAACAGCCAGATTTGTGTAAAAGAAGCGCTGCAATTGAATGGTTACAATGATGCCAAAACCAACAGGGCACTGAATGCCAAAACCAAATCAAATAGCACAACCATTGAAACTGACCAAGCAATTAAAACGAAGTGAATCGACAAGTAATTCATTGTTAACTATATGCCTTATACGGACTACCATATGTCGATGGTGATTATCTGTGAGCAAACAACAACAGGTATTACGATTTCCATGCACACAACCTAAGGCAGGACGTACAGGAACAATGTGCATGCATAATGTACGTTGATTATGAATAACCCAACCGGTCATGGTAATCCGTTGTAATTTATTTCTACCCCCCAGCTTTTACACCTGATTGGCTCACAAGTGATGGCATCACATTTATCCCTCTAAGAACGAAACGGGAGCATTTCTCCACAAATCTGGCTGTTGCCTGATGATGCTAGTTGTAATTACTGGCGAAACATCGTGCTCAAATTGTAAATGTGGATTTATTCTCCAATGCTCCGGTGTGCTATACTAGTAACGAATTGTCATGTTCCGTTTACGTGACAAACTTTAATAATTGGCTGTGTCTGGTGGTGGCGCTTTGAGTTGCTGAGGCATTTAAGCCAGCACCATTTAAAATGCAAAGATTATATTGACCTTATGTTTGTGTCAATGATAGAGCTTGGTGACCCTGACTCTTCAACAAAACATTGCATTCCCAATAGGGTCATGGTGATGTATCCATGAATCAACTTACATATTAATAAGACGCAACTATACATGGACTGAATGTCACATTGTAAGAATTAATACTTACAATGTGACATTGTGACATGAAGCAAGCTTGAAGCTGAATGCCAAAGCCTGTCCAGGCTTTGCTTGTCTTTAACCACTCCTGTTGACATGGGAGGGCTTTATTGTCGTAATAGTTTACATTTTTTGCAAATGAAAATGAGGTCCATGCCAAATCAAACATACTCAATTGCAATAGCCAGTGTTACGCATTTACAATTACATCTGAGCCACACAGTGGATGGTGGCTGTGTTGTGTGCAGCAGTGGATGCCAGTGGTGCCCGTACTCGCAGAGGTGTTGAAGAAGGAGAATGAAGCTGCGGAGAATACAACTCGAAACACTGGGAAACCCTTCACATCCACATTGCTGCAGGTTCCAACACGCACACAGGCAGCCACGCAGTGTCTCCTTTGCACTGATTATAATAATAAGCGAAACAATGTTTATTCATAATAGATTTTTGGGATAAGCCACAATATTCTGGCCAAATTTGTGTCGAAAGACCCTCCAGCATCCAACAGAGCCAAGCATTATATTTCCATGTGTACGAGCATTTAAAACTAGGCGCCAATTGTTATTTCACCTCCATTGGTAAGTTGAAGTACAATTTTCACAACCAAATTTCACAATAGATAGGATTCTTTGATTGAAACTGCATAAAACATCTTCAAGTTAGATACCAGGAAGTCAGAATAATGTCAAAACCTGACTTCCTTGATTTTACAGAGAATTTTTCTTCAACTTCAAATCAATTATGCCTCGTAATATTGGCTGCGGAAGTTGACGTGCAAAGATACAATTAGGGTTGATACCAATAAGAATAAAGTACAGGTTATGCACTTTTTATACGAGACATTTCTCTCTTCAGTTCTGGTGTGCACCATTTAATAATGTACATATTGAGGTATGTGTTTTGACTCGCAATGATAGTCACTTCACATGCATGTACTGTATAAGTTATAATGTAAAATGTATGTATGTTGAACTTCTTTAACACTATACGTAGCCAACTGTGCTAATCCTATTATATATGTGTCATTTGTTTGTACACGTGTGTATGAGTGTGCATGTGTCATTACGTGTCTGCTATGTGTGTCAGTCGATACCCTGGACACCCTTGCAAATGAGATTCCAGTTGAAATATTTGAACAAATGAAAACTAAAAGATCAGTAAATGTATTGCGTGAGGGTGTATTATGCAGGCCTCTGTGTGCTTGAGATTATTCAGCAGACTGTTATTTCTGTTCATGCTTGGAATTACATTAGTCAGAAAATGTAAAAATCGGATTGCAGAATGTACACAGGTTTTTGACATCATCCAAACTGTTAAGAAATGTAAGTTAGCTTGGGCAGGTTGTGGCTTGTTGAGGTTTTTATCCAGCAGTGGATTGGACATGGCTGATGATATTATCTGTTTTCGTATGTTGTGTTTTTAGCCTCTGGCTGCCCAGCGGGCTACACTGAAGACGAAGAGAAATGAGATGAATGAGCAGTGGCACAGAGGCTTGGATCAATACGTGAGTAGTATTATTATTCTTTAAACACAGCTCATGACCACAAGCCCAAAGTCCCAAAATGTGAAGCTGCTACTGTCAACATTACATTTATTGGAACTATCAAAGTTGTGGGTTGACGTCTTAAATTGAGAGGGTAGGAAAAGAGATTATGATGGGAGGAGGGAATTCCAAGGTGGAGCAGAGTGAGCGATGAAGCCGTAAGATACGTTTTGTGACCTGCATTATGGTGAGTGGGCGTGATAACAAATTTTATTATTTTATTATGAACACTCTACTTTGGAACTCCTTGTTATTGTCTCGTTTTACAAGGTTCTTAATGACACTGCTCAATGCAAGAAAAGAGTAAATTATTATTTGTGTATTGTTACAGCCCTTATTTGCTGGCTGCTTTGCTTGACAGGCCTTTGGGCAAAATGCTCAGTAATTGTGATAAATAGGGGTGCCACCATTTCCACTTAGACCAAACCCAACCACAATTTTCAGTCAGCCTAGTTCTATCAAAACTGTGCCATCTACTACCATAAAGTTCAACACAATACCACTAGATATTGGTAAAAAGAAATTCCTCCCAAGCACAGGCCGAGTTGGTGAGCACAGGCCCAGAGCCCCGAGGCCTGTCATGCCAATTCCCAGGTGGCAACCCCGTGATAAATGTAAACAATAATACCACCACGTGGACCAGCATTCATTCACAAGAGGTGTTGTTGTGTGTATATCATATCCTTGCATCCTATTCTTGGCTACATCGAGTCTTGATATGTGTCGTGTTAATTTGTCATTCTTCCATCTCGTGGGTCTGCTTAGCGAAATGCCGAGAATTGCCTGCGTATAGCTGAGCTGCAGCGTGCGCAGAGGGAGGAGGATCTGGCGCTGGTCTCTACAGGGAACCCGGGAAACAGTCTCAAGACCACAGACAAGAGACAGCAAGTGCACGAGGAGGCCCAGCGTAAGGTCAGGATCGCATTGTTTAATTGGGTTTATGGAATGATTGGTTTTGATAAGAGCACCCTTCACGATGGGCGTATTTGAGCGCTGCACACAAAAAAAAATTACTTGCATCACATCATGCTGCTGTGTCCTGTACAGTGCTTTGAGATCCTTGATGAAAAGCACTATATAAATGTAATTATTATTATTTAAACCATTTTAAAAGGCATCTTCATGGGCAGCTGTCCCTGTGTGACACAATTTGACTCGGCACCAAGTGAACATTTGCCTGCAGGGTGCTATGACTGCTGTATACAATCCCAAATGAATAATTTGAGGCTAATATTTTGAACTCTGCAAATTTGTGCAATGAAGGCGGCACACAGTGGCCTACTTGATTCAAATACATTTGGTGATCTTTTAACGTCCACTGTGAAGCAGACTATGTGTATCATTATGGTTAATACTTAAAAAGTACTTAAAAAGTATTAACTAGAGCGGCCTGCCTGAGTCTAACCATGAACCTCTGCAACAAGCGGCGAACGTGCTACCTTTGCCCCGCATCACAACCCCTTGGGGTTGTTCAACAACAACCAGTAATCGCTTTCAGAATCTCTTACCGGTTCCAAAAGTCGGGAACGAATGGGCTGATTAGTGTGTGAGAATGTACAAACAGCACGGCAGCCTAAGTTACCGTGTGGTACATTTGCCCTCATTTCCCAGTTAAGAGCCCTGAAATTTCCTGCTTTAAAACATTTGCTCTATTATACCACTGTGGAAACTGCCTTCCTATCTAAGTTCATAAGTTAAACAATGTATGTGCAGGCAGCCCCCGGGGTATAGAAGACCCGGCTTATGGAAATCCGACTTTACAGAAATTTTCCAATAAATAATGTGAAAAAAAATATCAATATGCGGAAATGTTTGCGATAGTTACGCAAGCATAAATAGTGCAGCGCGGTGAGGTTGCGGATGAATATGCCTCGCTCCATGAAAACGTCGCCTTTACTGAGCCCGAGCTTTATGAGGATTAATTGTTTCTTTTCTATGCTTAGAACTATCTTTTTTCCCATCTTTCTATTGCTAGTTTTCTTCATTTTAAGTTTATTTCATGAGTTATTTACTGGACGTACTGTGTATGTATGTGACCCTGACCTGGTACAGGCGCCAAGGTGATGTCACCGTGACTTAATGGCGCATGGGCGGGTATTTGGTATGTGTGTATGGGGAGTGATAGTAGAGTGATTAGCGCACTGCGCTACGAACCTGGCGACCCGGATTCGACTCCCGCTCACGGCGAACGCCACTAATGATTACCTAAACCGGTCCGGGGCCTCCCCTAGGTCTACTCGGCTTCAAATGAGTACCTGGTGCAATGTGTAAAAATCTCCACAAGGGAGACAAAGGCAGTCGGGCGTGGTGTTGGCCACCCCAACCCCCTCGTGTGCTGTGCCGGCCTTCATATGTGCTCGTTAACAGCACTTGACCCAACAGTCTGTTACAGGCTATGCGAGGGGTCTTTGTCTTGTATGTGTTTGTGTGAAGTTTAGGCCTAGCCTAATTCACGGTAAACAAACGTTTGGAAGTGACTGCTTTCTATTAACAACATAAAAATGTTTCTTGGTATTCATAAACAATTTAATACAGTAGATGTTACATTAGTTTAATAATAGGTAGTGTTCGGGTAGATATTCGATGAAATGAAAGAATCAGTAGCGAGTGCAGAGCGTCGCTATAGCGATACGATACAGGTAGTGATAGAAAACGGACGACAGTGCGATGTGGTACTGAGAGAAAATGGTAGGGGAGGCACAACTATTTCCGGCTATGGGATTTTGTCATTTATTTTGGGGGGAAATTGTTCAGTTTCCAACATGGAAAATCCCGGTTACGGATCATTCCCAGGAACCTAACCCTTCCATAACCCAGGGACTGCCTGTATGTGTGTTGAACTTCACTTAACATAGCCTACTGTGCTATTCGGAGACATTTCTATTAGTGCGGCAAAGCACAACCGATTCTAATGGGATTTTTTTGCCCAATCCCAGAAGGGTGATGGGATGTTTAAAAATACTTTTATCTTTTAAGTGAAGGTGTGTTTCTTGCATATTTATATAGGTTGCATTGAGAATAGTAATGTATACATTTGAAATGCACACTTTATTAGTTGCTTGCTTCCTATGGGATCACTGATCACATGGCTACCCAACTACTTTGTAGTAGAGTTCAGCTGATGTACTGCTTTGTGGCCATGCACTGAAAGGACACTACAATAATAGCATGGATTTGATTTGCAGCTGTTGGAGGCGGAGGTGCTGTGCCGTACTAATGCGGCTGAAGCCTGGCATCAGCGTGATAATCTGGTGACTCTCAAAGGGCGGCTCCTGGCTGTACTCAACCAGCTCTTGCAGAAGGCCGATGCTGCTCTGCAAGAGGTGTGGACAGACACGTTTCAAATACAGAAAGCTGGCACCATCATTCAATTTCCCTTCAGCCAATCACACCTCGCTTGCCTCACCGCCAGATTTTCCTCCACCAACCTCACCTCCACCAACCTCGCCTCCATTGTACCTCACCAACCTCACATCCTCACTTCCTAAGCTCTGCACTACATGAGTGCAACCTCATGTCTTGCAGTAAAACTTTACTAAATATTGAATACATCAGATTTTGGCCAGCTCCATTAATGAGTGTTGATACATAGCAGGGAACCGCAGTACCCAGAGAAATTTCACACGTGCGAGGGGTGGTAACACTCAATTCACGTACAGATGGAATACAGATGGAAATGAATCGACTTACTGTACTGCCATCATATCCTGACAAGCCAGGAGATAGTTTGAAGGTGTCAGGGGGCCCACAGTGGGATGTACCCCGGGCCTGCACCCCCCTATGGGCGGCCCTGGTAACGTGGGGGACCCCCACCACTGCCTGTGGACTTCACAGCGGCAGTCATGATGGTGGGTTTTTATTTTGTTGTATAAATCATTTGATGCCACAGGGTACCATGGATAATTATAGAGGCTAGCATGGATCAGGAGGCCACATATACTTTGAATGAGAGGCATTCTCTATTTTTTAAATAATATAAAACTAGTATTGCCAACCGCAGTTTTGCCAACCATGGCGGTTTTCAGGAATGTAACCCCCGCAGTTGGCGAGGGATTTCCGTACTTGCGCGTATGCCGACGCAGGTGGTGGCGAGGTATCTGGAGGTGGTGTACAGCAGGGACCCTCTGCTGCCAGCCTCTGCGTGTGGAGAGACGCGCGCGTATCGCCCTGGTCACATGTACGTCGTCTACATGCAGAGTGTGCATGGCGCCCTTGGACACGCGCCCAGAAAAACGTGCGTACGCTCCTTGCGTCATCTCATTCCCTACTCGGGTTGCTAAACCTTGATGGTAAACTGGTGACCGTTCTCAGAATGGATTACCGGTTGCAAAAGTTAGGAACTGATAACTGCGTGTTTCAATTTCCCTCGTTTCTCAGTGAAACGGTAAATGTCCAGTCCCACTGTTGCTCGCTTATGCCACTGCTGGCAGCAGGGCAACCACGAGAGGGAGCTCTAGAGGGTTTCCACCACCACCACCATTAACTTTTTCCACAAAGTAGAAATATTTTTTCAGGGGTTCATCCGCCAGTTGATATGAACCATCAATTCCCGTGCTAAAGACTTTTGAAAATGTATTTATTCGTCCAGGAGAGCCACACTGAGTTGAGGGACTCTTTTTCAGGAGGATCCTGCCGCTGCATTGGGTTTTTAGCCTCGGTTATTTTCAGCCAATTAATGACGAGTGTTTATACAAGTGGGAGGAAACCCACTCGCTTGAGGGGGTAACACTCTACCCCTATACAGATGGAAACAGATGGCAATTAGTTAACTTGCTGTACTGCCTTCTGGCCAGCCAGGGTATGGCACCTTGAATGTCACAACGTTGAGGCGATCTCCCAACCTTCGAAGTACTAGATTACAGGCGTGCGTTACCACCGCCCAGCTTAACCATGCCTGACCCATTGTATCCACCGTCACAGTCTACTTCACAGTGGGCGTTAAAGGTACCCTGATATAATCGAAATGAGAAGGCCATTGTGCACCAATTGTCATGGTCGAAATTTTTCCAAATAAAAAAAATCTGAAAATCACTGAACTTGGATGACACACACAGCAGCAATCATCACCCCCAACTGACAGACCAATGCTCGCTTGCAGGCCAGGTGCCGAGTCACCTTGTGCTACACTGCGGCTGCTGCCACTGGGGGGGTGTCTTTTCAAATGTGTTGTAATGAGATGTGATGTAAGTCACTTATCACACATGAAGTGCTCTGAGATGCCCGGTGTGAAGGGCGTTCTATAAAAAACAAATAATTATTCCGCCTATTACGTCTTGGTGTCGCTGTGTGTGGCTTACTAGGTTGGGCCACAGCAAGAGTGAAGAGTTGTCGATTGGCAGCCAGTGGAATGTCCCAATGGGGGTTCTGCAATCTCCGTCCCTGACGGAGGAGCTGCCCAGCCTTCAGCTCTCACCCGGGGACAGCAGCAGCACTGGGCTCGCTGACTTGATTGGTAAAAATGGATGGACGTTTTCTCGTTAATTACTTTTTTAAATATGGTGTAAATCTAATTTTGCATTGAGTACACTCATAAACATGGTAATGTGTAGAATATGATTGTTAATAGATACTGTTTATGATGGTTATGGCTTTTCCATCTCTTCGAGCTGACATTACATGCCGTGACCGCGAAGTGAGTAGTTCTCAGGGACGTGTGCATCTGCTTTGTGAATGTTGCAGGTCCCCAGAAGTGCTGGAGCCTCAGTCAAATCCGTTCCTCAAGCAGTGACTCGGAGAGTGCCGACGCTGTGAGCAGCTCCCTCGACTCACCCTGCACCAGTTCAGGTGTGGTGGTGACCATGTGTGACGATGGTGGTGGCGATGATGATGGTGGTGAGCTGGAGGATAGTAGCAATGTAGGGGGACAGTCGCTAAAGCTTGGTCTGTCATCTGTAGTATGGTCAATAATGTGGGCTCCCAGGAATTTGTCAGCAGAGAAAGGGAATTGTATATGATGTTGGTCAAGTTCTTCACCCCTATTTTTTTAATGAATTTATAACACTTGTCATTATAACACTTGTCATTATAACACTTGTGTGTATTCTCCAAGTACACCATACAAATTGGTCAAATGCCAGCAGGATCTTCCTATTGAATCTATCATTCTTTGCTGGAAACTAAAAGCAATGTACATTAATGTACAATGTTAACTGATGTAGAACATTACACCACTCAGAATAATACAATTCTGCAGTTTGCACTCAGTGGCTCTTCAGTTCAATAAAACTATTGGAGTGACAATTGGTGAAGTAACTTGAAGATATAGTTGAAAAATTTGTTTTTAAACCTTTTAATGTAAATTAGAAAATACCATGGTGCATGCTTTTGACAGGTTAAATCTGAACAGACTGTTAATTGTGCCTTTAGTTAAAATAAAATAAAGTGACCTTTCTTATCATTATATATGTATGAACGTGTAGAATCTATTCATGTATTATTCTCTGTGATAATTGCTCTGACATTTTCATATTGTGCTGCCTTGTCTGCATAGGGGACTTTAAACGCAAGTTGTCACGAACACCGTCAACGGGCACCATGTCCTCTCTGGACGACTTGGAGGATAAGGACCTCAGTTCCTATGACAAAGGTGAATGCTCCGCCATGCAACTCACTCACCCAGCACGCATATTGACAATCTTCGTTGGACTATTTCTCTGCAGGAATGCGGCTTGATTAGCAATGTGTGGGCTGAGGCATCTTGGCCCACTGGTAGAGCATGGGGCTAGCAGTCCAAAGGTTGTGAGGGGGGGGGGTTGACTTGACTCTGTATCTCTCTGGGGTCAATAAAATAATTACTATTTTGTAGGGAAGTTAGTAGCGGTTCTCTGTCGTATGGATAGATCTCGTACCTGCCACATGAGGAATAGCCACCACTTGCTCAGTTTTTAAACAGATGAGCTCATTTGAGCAGGAAATCACTTTGCCTTTGACGACATTGCAGTGTTTGCTTGGAGGAATGTTTACTAGTATTATCAAGGACAATAAGGTGAAATATGTAACACTGTTATTCATGGCTCTCTTGACTGACTCTCAGGATTGTGGTTGATGTAGCCAAGACTTAAGCTGAAATGTGCTCAGGGTCAAGAGAGATATTGTGTTCATTTGTCATTCACTGTCTCCCATAATGACTACAGCAGTGGTGCACACGTGTATCCCGTTGAGGCGATATGACTTGAAACAGGTGCTGTCTGTTGCTATTGTAATTTGATATCAAATTCAATATCAGCGGTCACATGAGAAGGCACATCAGAAGACACGGGTAACATCAGCATGTCAGAGGGACGTGCCGTCTGGGTAGGCTTTCCTACTTGAACAGGAGCTAGTTAAGGTGTACCAAGTTAATTTTCTAACCCAGGCATGGGATGGTAACTGAGGGAGAGAAGTGGGGGCATTATAAATATAACAAACCAAAAAGTTAACGAAAAAGAAGGAACATAAGGCACGCATCTGCCCATCTTCCCTCTAGAATCATCCATCTTACAGAATACGCTAAGGATCGAGTAAGCCCTAGGTGCTATTTTTTTCATGACTACAATATGTTATTTGAATGGTCTCCGTTTCATAAGATACACCTTGCCATTGTATGGTGCTGCGTTATTTGTTGAAAGAGTGATTTAAGTCATAACATTGCTGACATTTTTAGAAATCCATCGTTATCTTACTTATAAACGTAATTTTGTGCCTGTCTGTCTGTCTCTGTGTCTGTCTGTGTCTCTGTCTGTCTGCGCGCGTACCTTGTGATGCTTTTAACTGACAAACTGTGGTGTTTACGTTTAAACAAAGTACACCGATACGACGCAATAAGCCCCAGGACGAAAAAGCGCGGATAGATTTTCCCATCCGTCCAGTTAAAAAAAGTAAAATTAACAATTTATTCTTGTTATTTTCCTACGCTGAGGGCGGCGCCAAAGCACGCATCTGCGCATTCGCAGCAACTGCTGACCTGTGGTTGCCCCTAGCAACGCACACCCGATCGGTGGGGACGGGGGAAAAATTATCATTCGCGTTCAAAATGCATTTAAAAAAAGACAACGCTGAGGTAATTTTTTCACAGTGTGATGTCCTCTTCTCCCCCACCCACCCCAATGTGTGCAGTTATTACTATAGAGTTGGTAGATACTACGTAGATACTACTGTAGGGCGGGTGGGGGGATGGTGGGGGGGGGGGGTGGGGGGGGGGGGTTGCAGCCCAGCCCCAGCTGGCCAAGGTGCCACCTCAGCCGGCTGGGCCATCTTGCCGAGGCCGGCGACACTTCGTGGGACTAGGCCTCACCACGGCACTCTGTGAAGTTAGTAGATACTCCTATAGAGTCGATATATACTATTGTTGTGTGGTGACGATGGACGCGAAATAGATCTTCTTGTATGGGCTTACGGCAGTTTATTATGACAGGGAAAGTACACTTACAACAGAGGTAGGTGTCTGCTACACGGGGTTCTTCGTGTGGACCCTGGCTCTACTCTTATTTCTAGCCTCGGCTATCCCCTTGGGTTCTCTCACTCGAGTTGTGATGGGGGTTCAACCAACACCGCCCGACTGAGAAGAGCAACCCCTCTAACTCTTAGCCGGCTCTCACAGATTCTACGAGCCCTGCTCTCGGCTATCTCTTCGGCTCTCCCACTCGTCGAACTCGGACGGGGGAGAGATATCCTTCAGCCGCTCTTGGTCCCGGTTCCCAAAACGACCCCGCTTTAGTCACGAGGTCCCCCTTAAGTCCCCTTGGGCGGCTCCTCCCCCTTTCACAGACCCGCCCTCGTTCTTCTCGATATCTCCTTACGGTGCTCATGACGTGACGTCAATACACCTCACGGCGCTCATGACGTCACGTCATCCATTACTCCTCTAGTCGATACTACTATAGTCGGTATATACTACTGTAGAGTTAGTAGAGACTGCTATTGAGTCAGTACATACTACTATAGTTAGTTAGTATATACTACTGTAGAGTTAGTAGAGACTGCTATAAAGTCAATATATACTATTATATTTTATTTTGATTTTTTATCATTTTTTATTTCCACCTACGTGACTACTGAAAGAACCAAGAATATAAATGTACAAGACCATTACAGCACTGTGGCAGCTGCCTTCGTTTCTCAGTTAAAAAGGTAAACAATTATTTTGCTGCTTGAGCTTTCTGTATGTGTGGCAAACCAGTGACTGCTATGACCGGTTTGTTCAAGTAGGAACCTGTAATGCAAAGGAAACTATTCTAACGCAATAATGTTACATGGTTTGTTCTTTCTTATACAGATTTGAATCCCCTTTCAACCAGCATGCCTGCAGTTGTTTCCGGACCTTTCAAGAAGACCGACCTATCAGTAGCTGCTCGGACACATCGTCTACGCCGGCTACGTGCCCTCTCACGTTGCCGCGAGTGTGATGCCTATATCTACTTTCAGGGGGCAGAGTGTGAGGAGGTGAGACCTCGACAATTAGTTTTACACATGTAAAATCCCTTGAGATGGAACAACTCATTCGTAAGGTTGTGCAGGGTGTCACTTTCCACATACGTAATGATACGTATATGAAGATCCCCCTTATAGCCTGCACAGACTGTTGAGGCAAGTGCTGTTAGCGAGCACCTATGAAGACCGGCGCAGTACACGAGGGGGTGGGTGCCTTTGTCTCCATAGTGGCAATTTTGACACACCGCGCCAGGTGCTCGATTGAAGCTATTTCGACCTAGGGGAGGCCCAGAACCGGTTCAGAAAATTATTACTGGTGTTGGCCATGAGGGGGAATCGAAATCACTAATCACTGTGCGACCACACATACATATATACACACACACTCACAGGTGGGAAAAATAGACCAAGTACTTTTTAGAATTCTACTGGAGTGTTCTCTACAAGTTCAATGATCAAGGGGGAAGAGAAGACCTAAGAGCAAATGTTGGCGGAGACAGTGCGGACATTGGAGGGCATGTGTCCCGACTGTGCAGAAGCTGTGGGATCTGGCAGAGGGTAGCAGGTCAGAATCTTTTATTTATCCTGGAGGTATCCAATGAGCTATGAAGCAAATTTTTACAGATATCCAGAAGTTACAACCACAAACAATACAAAAAACGATAGTGAAAACTATGTGTTGGCAATGAGGTGTGGTGGCATCAACAACTTTAGATCTTGATAATTGGAAAAGTGTGGATAGTGCAAATGGACTTGGACTTTGATTGGTTCGTGTGTTTTTTTAACAACGCACGAGGAATTAACACCCCCGTGTCTCCTGTGCTCTGGTTGGGGTCGCAGTGCTTCCTCGTGTGCCACCGGAAGTGTCTGCAGACGCTGTTGATCCGGTGTGGGCGGCAAAGACTCGGCGTGCGAGCCGCCGTGTTTGGGGAGGAGCTGCTGGCTGTGACGCGCTCTGAGCCCCACGGAATACCCATTGTCGTGCGCACGTGCGTCGCCGAGATGGAGAGGAGAGCCCTTTGTGTCAAGGTACGGCAAGCCCCCTGACTAGCCAGGTTTACATTTTTAGCCGACCCAGTTACCAGCGAGACGATATAATGGTTCCTGACAGCATTCCGAGCACATTGCTGCAGTGTTCACAGGGCATGGCAGGTGGCAGCATGCTTCGTAGCTGCATACCCTGTAAATGCCTATTCTGTAATCTTATCTTTAGCTTTCTTCTCCTCTGCTGGACATTGACTGCTTTGCTTATATTGTTCCAAGGACATCGATGCACCTCCACCATGAGTACTGACTTGCCCCAACTGGACATCTGTGAATCAAGAGCTTTGATCGCTCAGCGGATCCCTCTCAGTCTAAATAAACAATCTGATAAAGGATTCTGATTCTGTGCATATCCACTGAGTGCAGCACGGTAGTTTTTTTGTCTTTCATGTGCAGCTTATCTGGTCGTTAGGATAGAGTACATGTTTAAACATTCTTATTAATTCATGTTTGATGTGTTTGTAATGCCGGTTATGGTACACAGGGTTATTAGTGATTTATTTTATTAATTTTGATTGGTGTTGTGGCAAGCTGAACTTAAGCTCACCGGAACAGGGCTCCTCCTATTAGTTCGGATAGCCAGGGTTTAGCTGTACAGCACTTCCTCAACGGATAGATAAAAATACCATGCTTATGAATTAATGTCAAGCTTTATACTCTTTGATTCTTTTGGTAAAGTCACGTAGGTATAAAATAAAATAAAAAATAAATCACGACGTTTCGGGCACAACACAAGCATCCGTCATCAGGTGGGAAAGCAATTCCTATAGTCACGAAAGCTCCAAATTCAAATCAAGATTATGTCAGGCTTCTGTAGAGAAGGCTTGGCTTTGAGGATATTTCCTGCTGTTTGCCAGCTCTAAATCACTGCTCATCTTCAGTCAAACTCTCAAAGGTCAAAGTGATTTCATTTCTCAGCGATAACACATGTTGTGCTTATTGCTGGAGACATATATGTATGTGCATAAAAACAGTAACAGTAAATAACAGTAACTGTTATTTACTGGTTTTCTTTGTGGTTACCAGTAATTTAAAGAAACACATTTTAACAACCTAGTTATTATATTGTGTTTAACCCAGAGTTTCCCGCCCATTTAATATTGTTGGAGAGCTGTCACATTGGTTGGAGCGTTCATATTAATTATTATATTGTGTGATAGAATACCTTCACACAGAGGCATCTCAACGCTTTACACACATTAAGCATTGCATCTCATCTCAACCTCTTCAAAAGAACACCGCCAGTGGCAGCTGTGTGGTGCTGGCCTGCAAGTAGACACGAGTCTCCTAGTAGGGCGACATGACCGCTGTGTGTAATACCAATTGAGTTATTCATGTTTGTGATCTTCCGCAGGGCCTGTACCGCGTGAACGGGCTCAAGACGCAGGTGGACCGGCTTTGTGCTGCGTTTGAGAATGGCCGCGAGCTTGTGGAGCTCTCTGAGCAGCCGGTGCACGTAATCAGTAACGTCCTGAAGCACTTCCTGCGTCGGGTGAGTGTTCCACTTCGGTCTGGGACAGTGCAGGGGTTCACAGTTTGATACCGGCAGGCCACCCTGGTTAATAATACTGTGGGGTGTATAACCATAAAATACTTTGTGTCTTTTGTCTCGCTTACAGTGGACAATGAAGTCCTCTGACATCTGAGATGAGATTGTTGTGCCAAGCAGAGTAATGTTTTTTTTATTTCATCAAAACACGAGCACAGTACAATGTGCCGGTGACCATTAGGAGGGGTGTAATGGTTTAATATAGTGATCTATGCCATGTCATGTATGTATGTATGTCATGGCTTTGTACATGTGTGCCTGTGCAAATATGTGTGACAGATGCCGGAGCCCATTGTGCCATTTCAATTGTACGGAGCGTTTCTGGATTTGGCCAGGGAGAGTTTGCTACTGGGTGATGAGGCCTTCCCCCCGAGTGGCCTTGAGACTCCGGAACTCTGCCACACGGCCCCTTCATTCCAGCACACCGAGCTGGGCCGGATTCTCTCTCAACTTCAGGATCTGCTGAAGCAACTCCCCTCGCCTCACTACAACACCCTGTCCTACATCATTCAACACCTGCACAGGTTCTGCTGCTTTGGACCACACATTGAATACATACTATGTTTACGTCTTATAATAATAATAATACATAGGGGACATTGCTTCAGCCACAATGGCATTGATGCTTCCTCTGCCCTCAACCTCCAAATGTAACCCTCGTGTTCCGGTCACCTCTCGTGTAAAGCATCTGGAGGTGCGGTCACATGTCCAGGCTGAGTCAATGGAGATTATTGTTTATGATGTACCCTGTCGTTCATTTTTAAACCGATATTGAGACTTCTGTGCGGTTCAGAAGATTAACATCCCCCGGCCTTTGCAAATTATATAGTTTGCGTGTAAATAATGTTAGATACTTTCCTAAAATTAAAGCTACGTGTTGAAGTCGAAGTGGTGCTCATTTCTATTAACCCGGGAGGGAGGGATGGACTGAGTAAACCCTCAACCAGGATTTGAACTCGCAAAATTCCGATTGTCAGCCACTCACCCTACTGCTGAGCCACTATGTGTTTCATGCCACACTCGGAGCTTGTCCTCCAATGATAGAACATTTTAGGATATTTGGAATGCCAAACATTTGTCGTGCTGAATTAATGCAGGTAATTCCTAACGTTGTTTATTCTACAGGGTGACAGACAGAGAAGAAGAGAACAAGATGTCTTTCCGCAATCTTGGAATCGTGTTTGGACCAACGTTACTGCGCCCATGCTCGATGAAGGGCTCCTCTGATCTGTGCTCGCTTGTAGATTATCCCATCCAGTCACATGTGGTGGAAATGTTAATATTTTGGCACAAGAAGCTCTTCAGTGAAACTAGTTCTGTAGTTTCCACCGATGACTGTGGCCCGTATGTCAGAGAGGAACCTAGTGCTGCCAATCCTGTGAAATTTGACAAAACTTTGAAGAGTGCTGCTGGGAATAATGACATGCCACCTTGTGTGAACGTGGAGCATGCCAAGTGCTCCGAAGTGTTGGGGTGTAGAGCTGAATGTGTTGCTGAGTGCAGCTGCCTGCCAAGGCTGTGTGCAGCAGCGGGTCTGGCATGGGACCTGCGTGAGCGCCCTTGTGCAGAGAATACTGGCCATTCTCAATACTGCTCCTCACAAAGCTCTTCTCAAGAGGAGGGTCATGACCCATTCTGCTTTGTGATGGCAGGATCAGATCAGCTGACATCTAACAGTACCACGGTGCCAGGGGCTGTGACTGCAAGTGTGGATGCCAAAAATACTGGTGAGAATCTTCTACCATTGAGAGTAACTGAGATGAGGTCTGGTCTTCGCGTGAAGCCATAGGCTATGAGCAGCATGGATCCACGAGTGGTAAGCAGTGAACATATCTCAAAACTTCAGTTTTCAATCATTGGAAACACTGTGAGGGTAGGAGTTTCAGAGTTTATAATGGTCATATCGACCAAAAATACTGGACATCTGTGAAAATACTGGGCATCTGAAAAAGAGGCTCATAGCTCAACAGATTCCTCCAATATAAATAAAGATTCTGATTCTGAAGAATAAAAGTAACTATTTAATTAAAAGTGTTTGTTTTTAAAGTAATGTATCATTGTTTAATATAATCAGCACACGCATCATAGAGTGTTAATAATGTTTTATTTAGATATAGTGGCATTCATGCAATTTGCAGATAAAAATGTGCGGAGGTGCGGTAATCCATAGACAAGTGGGGGAAACATCCAGTACCGGGGGCAACTATTGCTCAAGTTCTGTGCTCTTATATTAGAGGAAATCGGAGACCAAGAGAAAAATCCATGAGTGCAAGGGGAATAGCACTGAATCCTTGTACAGATGGCGTACAGATCGAAATTATTCCACTTTTTGGACTGGCATTCCCTATAGCCAGGTGATGAAACCCCATGCAGAGGGAGCTTCATGAATGTGTTATCCACTGACCCTCATATACAGGTATTTGACATAGCACATTGTATATTTTTTCACAGGGAACACTGTTGCAGTGGATTTTAAGGAATTTCCAAGGCTCATCAGGGGTACAGGCAGTGCTGCCCCACGCAGGAGACCTCCAGTGAGGCCTCACAGTAGGCCCACAAAACTGCGCGATGTCATCCCCGGAGCAGCAGGAGTGACCAGCGCAGATTACGCACCGCGAATGGAGCACTCTCATGCATGGCTTCCGGACTCTCGCGGTCCAGACAGGGAAACCGTGTTCAGAAGCAGCAAGAATCAACCTGTGACGGCGTCTGTGTCTGATGAACAAAAATGCTGTGTGGGAAAGAATGACTTAATCGTTCACGAAAATAATCACGGGCGACCGCACGAAGAGACACAGCCGACCCGTTCGCACTGCATGCCACAGGAAATGTTTTTCCAGCCATCGAGCCTGACCAACAGTACCGTGTTTTCAACCAACGCTTCTCAGTTAAGTATTTCTTCCAAATGTCATCCACCGCCCACTGCTATTTCCCCATGCCTAAATGACAACTTGAATAATAGTAACGCGAGTCGGCTCAAGAAATTTGACACCAGCGTGTTGCTGTCTCTGCCACTGGGAAAACCTGAGCTGCAAGCTGATGAGGATCGGCAACCGGAATTTGTATGAGGCTGATGTGGTTTCAAATTTGCCGAGTAATTGCCTTGTACCCACTCGACCACACGTCTGTTGCTCTACATTAAAATTTCAAAGTGTTTTTGTTCTGGTGTCAGAAATGTATTTATACCAAGATATGTTGGTGGTACGGTCTTGTATTAGACTTTATTACAGGAGGCTGAACATTTTTTTATCGACCTAGACTGATAGAACAATGTCCGAGTTTTGTCAGCAGTGGAGAAGGTGGTAAGCCTAGCACCAAGTGGATTCTGATGTTAATCTTTAGCGACCTAGGCGAGACAACTCAAGCATGTTACTAAGATCCTCAACACATGTTTGCACCTCCGATTAGCGCAGTTGGCTACGTACCGTGCGGAAGAAGTTAAACATACATACATTGCGTATACTCAACTGTGCCTGCTTCAGGGATTGCATGCATGCTGTGTAAAAATATTAAAATCAGCAATGGAAAGTTGAAATGCATTTATACTCGCTGTTAAAGTACCGCATGTCACTAGCCATTGCATACAGCATGTATGTACAACTTGAGTGTTAATAATCGTTTCAAATGTACTTTAAAATGTGTTCGTATTGTACATTCAAAATTCTGTTGGAGTGCATTCAAACTCACCTTGTCTTTCAAGATGAATGCCTTCACATGAAGTCGTATGGCTAGCGCCATGTCGTGCCACTGCATTGGTAGTGGTACCGATCTGTTTGGGCTGCGTGTGATGCATCACACAAGACGTCTTTCACTCGAGGTCATCGTTTGCCTTACTGAATCCACTGCCTGCGAGAAATGTTTAACAAATGTTCCTGTTACAACAATAACATGCGCTGAAACGTATGTGCTGCTTCAGCATACCGTAATCGCAAGACGTATAGTTTGTTGGTCGATGGACTTCCCGTTTGGTTTTAACAAGGTCACCTTGCCTTTAGCAGGTTAGGACATTGTTTTGGGTTTTTTAATTCTGCAGAAACGAGAAGCAAATTATACGAAAGAGTCTGTTTATTCTTGATGAAAGTGTTTATGCACCGCAAAGAGGATGCAGGCTATTTATTTGAATAAATATAATCCCAAGTGATAATTGGTTCTTTACCCTTCTTGTTGCCAGATAGAAGGGTAAAGAACCAATTATCATATTTTTACTGGCAAATGAGGTCCCCATAGTGTAGATAATCCCAAGTGTTAATGGCCGAGATCAACATGGTACTTCGGTACTGTCAAAACGCCTTGGTTGTCATGATTAATGCCACACCTTTGGTGCCAATTACCATGATCCTGTTTGTATTTACATGTTTACAAGCATACGTTTTATAGAGCTGTCAGGGTGTTATGGTCGGCACACTGGGCCAGCAATCTACACCTCGCCAGTTGGATTCTATCTCCCGGCACGGCAGTTGAAACAATGGGACAGAGTCTCTTAAACCACCCCACTGCCTCTGCCCACCCAGCAGTGGATGGATTCACCACCGTTAAGGCGATCGGCAGGTTCACGTGTGCTGGGGTTAACCGTGGGTTTGCCCACCTCTTCCACCACATCTGGCGAGCATGGAAGAGTAGACCAGGGACCCTCTAGAGCTCCCTCGAGTAGAGGCCCTGTGGCCAACAGGCAGGAGTGGACGATTCCAGGACTGTACCCTTATCTTTTATATTACCATTAACTCGCGCTCGGCTGTAATGAGGCGCGGCATTACTCTGAATCGGTTGATTTGTGCCATTGAGCTGCGCTGCAAGCAGACCGGAGGGGGGGGGGGGGGGCCTTGTGCAGTCGTGTTCATTCAATATGATTTGTTTTACCTGTTGCTGATAAATGTGGGAGCTACAAGTCGCACTTAATCAGTGTGTGTGGTCACACAAGAGCCGACAGTCATTCGGGTGTCTCCATTTATTGAACATATTACAGCAGGTATTAAATGTCATTGTAACATCTTATTATATATACAGGAACTTGATTATCTAAATGTTGTGGTATATTGACATTTATATGACTGTTAAAATGGTAAGATAACGAATCTAAATACCACTAATATAACTCGTATCTACAGTTCTCAATTGATTTTGTATTACAATTTAATGACAACGTCTGTAGGTTATGAACATATCGGGCATGGCAATTTATGATTTTTTGTAATGGAATTTGCAGAGTACTGTATTGCTCTTGACTTTATACAAGGGAAATTGGATTGTTATATCACAATTTGTTCAGTGTATACGTTATGTCTGGAACAGCAATGATACACTTTCTTTAGCATCAATAAAATGTTTTGACTTCTTTGTGGCTATGTTGGCGTTACATTATTCATTTAAATGTGTTTTTCTTTAAGCAACATAAAATGATGCTGCTGATTCTTCTGCTGTTCCGTCAGCAGTACCATCTTCAGCAGTAGCAGCAGTAGTTAGCGAGGCTGATTATGATGATTCTGTTCCATCAGATGATTTTGTATTACAATTGTAATGGTGATGATGCATCATCTGAACATGATGCTGGTGATACCGAATAATCAGCAAAAGCAAGCGATGCTGATAATTGATGCTTCTGCTATTCCAGCATTATCAGTATCAGCAGTACCGTTCTGTAGAGCACCATTAAAGTTATAAAGACCATGAGATGGAGGTAAGGCTCACCCACTCACCTATCTACCCACTATCTACTCACCCTGTGTCTGTTGCTCTCTTAGTGCCTGCTAAATGATCAACCACCTCGATCTAAAGTCCCATAACATTTTCAGAAGAAAACGGCCAGAAATGCCTGAATGTACACTAAAAACGTGGCGCACTGAGCAAATGTACAGCACCATTTCCCTGCCAAAATAGCTTTTTTTAACTTAAATATCTCCTACAGACCCGAACCAATGTGTACTGAACATTTCTATACAGTATACACCGTGTTGCTTTTTAGGCATCTCACTTGGAAACATAAGGAGTCCCAATTTCACTTCCAGGAGTCTGAATTCCACATCTCGGAGTCCCAAGTTCAACGATATGCAATTGGGACCCCCAAAATTGAGTTGGCACTCCTGTAGTGCTATAGGGTTGGGGTTATAGGGTTGTGGTGGATATTCAGTATGTGCACGACAGGGTTGCGACTCTGGTCAGGGCTATCGAGTTGTAATGTATATACGGTATGAGCACTGTCGGTTCTCCACAAGTCACGTGATGCCCTCTTGCGGACAAACATTCGACTACAGCTGCTGCATTTCAAGGAACAATCGAGAACAGCCTCCAACATAGACGCCTCCAAATAAACAATGCGAGTGGTTATGGTCTTCCCATCAGCCACACAACCTCAGAGTGACACTTCTCCGCATTAACTCAACATAAGCAACCGCATGTCCGTGCACTGGTTTCGTCACTCGGTGTACCCCCCCCCTCCTACGACTCTGATCTCTGCACCTGATTGGGTGCAGTGATGACGTCGTCCTGCTGCTGCTCTATTTAAGACCGGAAGTAGGTGTATTGCTTCACTATTTTGGCAAATCGCCCGATGATGCTGGATGTAATTAGCAGCGAAACGTCGTACTGACATTGTAAATGTGGTGGATCTCATCTCCATCACACCGGTGGGCTGAAGTAGTAACTAATTGGCGTTTTATTTACGTGACTAAGGGGCCGTCCATAAATGACGTCACGCCATTTTGGACGATTTTTGACCCCCCCCCTCGTCACAAAAAGTCAGACCCCCCCTCAAATATGACGTCACAAACTTCCCCCCCCCAAACCATATTTCAATTTTGAAAATAAAACTTGCTTCAAATCGCTTTAAACTATCGTCATTGTAGTGCGTTTTAATGTGGCCCTGCACTCTGATGTTAGAGGAGAAAACATTTATTAATTAAATATTTATAAATACTTTTTAAAAAACACGCTTTAATGAAATGTACTGTCCGAGCTGCCCCTCCCCCTGCCCCCTTCCCCCATCGCCCCTCCCCTTCTTCCACACCCCCCGCCCCTGGGCGTGGCTCCCCGAGGCTTGTCGTGACGTAAGGGACCGTGGTGATTTACAAGCCAACGGAGTTGAGCGTCGACAATTAACCATCATGGACACTCGCTAATTAACTTAACCATCATGGACACTCGCTAAATAACCTAAGCAACATGGACACTCGCTAAATAACCTAAGCAACATGGACACTCGCTAAATAACCTAACCAACATGGACACTCGCTAAATCACCTAACCATCATGAACACTCGCTAAATGACCTAACCAACATGGACACTCGCTAAATAACTTAACCATCATGGACACTGGCTAAACAACCTAACCAACATGGACACTCGCTAAATAACCTAACCAACATGGACACTCGCTAAATAACCTAACCAACATGGACACTCGCTAAATAACCTAAGCAACATGGACACTGGCTAAATCACCTAACCATCATGAACACTCGCTAAATGACCTAACCAACATGGACACTCGCTAAATAACCTAAGCAACATGGACACTCGCTAAATAACCTAAGCAACATGGACACTCGCTAAATAACCTAACCAACATGGACACTCGCTAAATCACCTAACCATCATGAACACTCGCTAAATGACCTAACCAACATGGACACTCGCTAAATAACTTAACCATCATGGACACTGGCTAAACAACCTAACCAACATGGACACTCGCTAAATAACCTAACCAACATGGACACTCGCTAAATAACCTAACCAACATGGACACTCGCTAAATAACCTAAGCAACATGGACACTGGCTAAATCACCTAACCATCATGAACACTCGCTAAATGACCTAACCAACATGGACACTCGCTAAATAACCTAAGCAACATGGACACTCGCTAAATAACCTAAGCAACATGGACACTCGCTAAATAACCTAACCAACATGGACACTCGCTAAATCACCTAACCATCATGAACACTCGCTAAATGACCTAACCAACATGGACACTCGCTAAATAACTTAACCATCATGGACACTGGCTAAACAACCTAACCAACATGGACACTCGCTAAATAACCTAACCAACATGGACACTCGCTAAATAACCTAACCAACATGGACACTCGCTAAATCACCTAACCATCATGAACACTCGCTAAATGACCTAACCAACATGGACACTCGCTAAATAACTTAACCATCATGGACACTGGCTAAACAACCTAACCAACATGGACACTCGCTAAATAACCTAACCAACATGGACACTCGCTAAATAACCTAACCAACATGGACACTCGCTAAATAACCTAAGCAACATGGACACTGGCTAAATCACCTAACCATCATGAACACTCGCTAAATGACCTAACCAACATGGACACTCGCTAAATAACCTAACCAACATGGACACTCGCTAAATAACCTAAGCAACATGGACACTGGCTAAATCACCTAACCATCATGAACACTCGCTAAATGACCTAACCAACATGGACACTCGCTAAAATAACTTCACCATCGTGGTGCTGTAGCGCCACCGTGTGGTCACGTGGTACCACTGCAGCGCCTGGCGCGGTGACAGCAGCAGTGGCGCTGTGCGGCGTCTTCACGGCTTCATCGCCGCCAACCCGCTTGGGACTCACGCCAGGACGCCAGCAGCAGCAGCAGCAGCAGCGACTCACAACTGCGGGGAACGCGCGGCGGGTGACGTCTGACAGCGGCAACTGCTGGCGTGCTGTGTTGGCCTACACTGCACATGTCCACCACATCGCAGACTTCACCACGAATTGAACACTTGTGGTACTGCACTTGTCCACTAGAGGGCACACGTAACACGTCCGGCGCCGGTAAAAAAAAAACTATCTGGCCGATTTTCACTGCAATTCTATATTTCTTCACGGATTTCAAGTAACAAACTGCCGCATTGACATCTATAACTGTACCATATGTTTACACCGTTGAATAGTTGGTGAAGATCGGTGCTGAAATAGTGAAACTCACTGCATTCCCAAACAGTGCGCTTAAAATCGTCAACATTCACACCCATCATTGACTTCAATGCAAAATGCCGCCCCGGTTCCACACGTCACACAAACAAGTGGTGTGTGCCCTTCGACTCTACTCGACAGAGTCGCGCCATATGCGATTCAACTCATCTCGCTGAGACGCGTTTAAAGGCATATTTGAGGCATCTCGCTTGCAACCCTAAGAAGTCCTAAATCCAAAGCAGGAGTCTCAATTCCAAATCTCGGAGTTCCGATTCCTCATCCGGGAATGTGAACACCAAGGAAGTGGTTGTGGGGCTCACGGAAATGGAATAGGGACTCTCAAAATAATCCACATACCCTGTTAGCCTAGTCAGGGTTATGGTAAACGGCTAGGGGTCAATGAGAAGTGAATTCCTCCATTGAATTTACAATGCTGTATATAAACTGGGGAATTTAACATGTATATTTTTTCTGCGTGAAAAAATCGACATAGCAGTCAAATACACTAAACGCATGTGGAGGGGAAAAGACAAACGACAGTGAGGAGAACAATCAAACTACAAATATACCGCAGGTGTGAGGGATGGGGTTGAACCTACGACCTCCTGTATACCAGGCAAGGTCGTTACATTCTTGCCACTGTGAATTCTTCCGTTGACATTAGTCTTACTACGTGATGTATGAAACAAAAACTGTAAAATTAAACGTACTACGTGTTTGCTTGGAAAAAAATTGCCACATTTTTAACATGTAATTTTACAATTAGAAGTTCATTCCTCCAATGCCTTGAGGCATACTATGCTATATATAAAATAAAATTGGGTGATTATACAAATATGTTTTTTCTCGAGAAAAAAATCAACGCACTAACCCAATTGAATTAGGGGTAGGTTTAGCTTTAGGGGTTATGAAGGTGCAAAGTTGACCATTTTTCAATGCAATTTTCTATTGGAAAAAGTCTAATTGTTGCAAAACATTGCTAAAAAGCCCTTAATTTTGTTTGTTAATAACACTGCAACCAAAGGACATGGAGAGCCAGTTGTTGCATTTCCTGCTTGCAGAATATGGAGGCTACAAATTGTCCAGGGGTTTGACGAAAAACATTTCGAAAGCATTTGCAATTTCTGCTTCCCAGAATTGTACGAAAAACATACACATGGTCTGGAAGATCTGTATATACTGCAACTGATGTTGACCGAGTCACCCCTTGTCTCAATGAAGCCCCCCGAGTCAAAAACAGTTGCATTTGAGCCACTGAGTTGAATGGTTTTCCAAAAAAGTGGGCTCTGTGCTCAAAATGACATTCTCTATCACAGGCTTTCATTGACAGATCAAAGATTGTTGGGCATTGACTACTGAACAATCTAAAGCTCCAA